CCCTTCTGAATAGTTCTGTCCTCATGCGCTGGTACACAAAATGCCAAAAATGTTCATATGAAATGCTTCCTAAGAGTTAATTTCACATCACTTGCCCTGGAAAAGACAATCACCCTACAAACTTCACAACTCAATTCCACTTCATTACGTAAACAAAATCATGACTGAATCTATCGGGCCATTATGGGAGATGATGCTGACGTTTTTTTTAGTTCCTAAAATCCTCAGGTTACATGTGCAACTTTCAAGTTGTTGTCAAAATGAGACCTCCATATCAAAGTTTGGCCATTAACCCTCATTTTGAAAATGAACATTTCAGGACTATTGTATGCCAGTTAACTCATTTTATCGATGAACAGGAACAATATTGAAAACTATCTAATCGTCATGATCAGATATTAGCTCTTTTTAAAGAGACTCAGTAAGACACCAGACACTAAAAAGCAGCTCAATTTCGTAAGCTACACATGTACGCATTGCAGACCTATTTTTTTCTTTTTTGGACAATCCTGGTCAAACTTTGCCATGTTATCATGTATATACCAATTTTACTAACATAACACTTTTAACGTTGTTTATTCCAGAACTATACAAAATCTTTGTCCCATATGGACCAACAGGTAGCCTAGACAAGCCATTGCTTTGCTCAATGAGTGTCCGGAAATTACGTTGCGCAGTTGGCGAAACATGGAGATTGGCAGGAGTACAAATGATCGCATTCTCGACCTAAAAATGGGAAAGGATTATCAAGAGGGCAAAGCGATTGAAAAGATTATTTAAAAAAGCTTGACTCTGTTTTTTTATAATTTTTTTTGGACGTTTACTCCTGGAAAATTCTTGTAATGATGCTATATATCGTTAGATTCAATCAAACAGAATTAGTGTGCCTCCTGTAAAAACATCCTTTGTTTTCTTGGTTTCACTCAGTTACCATCACAGAATGACCGCTCACAAAAAGTAAAAAAGTAAACGTTAAATACATATTAACTGAATCTCTAATCCAAATTTTTCTTCCAACTTTTTAGGTATTCTCCTTCGCAGCCGTTGTTTGGTCTCATCACACAACGCTTTCTCTCCTTTACCAACGGCTGGTTCAATCGGAACCACATTCCTATCCTTTCGTTTTGAGTGCGAAGTAATTCCACTTGTTGATAAGGTGTTGCAACAATCCTATAGCTCCGTCACTCTCGGCCTCAGAATGGGAGGCGGCTTAGAGAACTCTGAGTAATCTTCATGAAATATCTAATGTCAAATCTAATTTGAGATCATTTGGATATATCAACAAAGTTGAAGTGGTAAATTGGCCACCGTAACGACCCCAAAAGCTGACGTTTCGAGCGTTAGCCTTTCGTCGGAGCGAAGGGCTAACGCTCGAAACGTCAGCTTTTGGAATCGTTACGGTGGCCAATTTACCACTTCAACTTTGTTGATATATCCAAATTATTTCGTTACTCCCACCGACCCAGCCCCAAACAGTTTCTTTCGAAACTATCAGCCTTTACTAATTTGAGATCTCTTGACGGAAATGATGTCACTACAATTCACAGAGAGGTTGTTGCTTATCAGCAACACCTTTACGATTCGTGGGCATGACACCAAACGTCTCACACAAAATGCTTGACATCACCGAACATGTTGCCGGGCTGTCATATCAATGATTGTACAATTTCCCTGTCCTCAGTGATTGCCATGGTAAGAACAAGATCTCTCCTGCATTCCTCGTAACTGCTGCTGTGTTAGCCTCTCGATAACTGACTTACTATTGGCAATGTTTGCCATAATACGATTTCCCTTTACCATCCCAACTACAGCATTAAGCAGTAACCAAATCATTAGGTCGCTGGAGGTTTTGTTTTGAGGCTTCAGATTTGAATGTGAAATCTTGAAAAGCGCTCTTGGAAAGTACGAGCAACAAGCAAAATGTCCGCGCGTATTTCATGTTATCCATCGAATAAGGGACTTATCCTTTTACTTTTATTTCATAGACTATCACACTTATTAGTATTTCATGGATTTTAGTCTGCGAATTAAATCCTACGGTCTTATCTGTACATTGTATTGATCGCATAAGGAGTACACTAAGTGTTTTTCAGTGTGACCAACAAACAAAATATGTCCGTCTCTTAAAAGTAGTCTAAGAGCGTAAAACAAGCAAAAAAAGCGAAGTTTGGATCGTTAAGTGCAGCCATTTTGTTGCTTCGTGCTTTTACCTTCTTCTTCTGTGTAATGCCGTACTGTGGCATATTTTGAATATTGTCATGACTTTATTCGGCATATGACATAGAAATGGTATAATAAATGTGAAGATTCACGAGCGTGGAACACTTCCTGTCCTCCATAAATGTTTGTTCTACCTCGAACTGTTTCCCCAAGAAGCAAAATTAAATTTGAGATTTGTCAAAAAATTTTTTACATCTTCATATCTGAGTGTTCCTTTCTACTTAGGTTTAGAGATTACTTGTCAATCTTTATACAGAGTCAAGAGCCCATCACCCCCTGACAGAGTCTGGTTTATTGCGCTCTTCAGCTTCTCCTAGTTACTCCTGAAGGAAGCTCGCTTGTAATCGAAAAGAAGGGAACTCAAATCAGGAGCCCATAACGAGCATACCTTGATGGACTTGAACACAAATCTGATATCACTTAACAAGGCTACTTATTCCAGGATCGGTAACGGTCTGTTCTCAGTGGAAATTATCAGGAAAAAACCGCGTGAAAAAGCCTTAAGCTTGGTTTGTGTAAATCGTTGAAACCAAAAAGATGCAATCGTCTCTAGCCAGAAATACGAGAAAACTAAACTTCTTTACTTTATTTAAATGTAAGTTTTCGTATCAAGGTCACACTTGCACTCATACAAGGGACTTGTCTCCCACCAAGAACTTCCACGGCCAAGCGGTACGGTGGCAAGGTCCCTGCACTTCAGTTACTCGGTAGGATCTGGGTACGAGATCCGTTGCTAAGCCACGCGCTCGTCATGCAAAGACAAGCATTTCACTTCTGTTTTTCGTTTTTCACACTGAGCACGGGCATTTACCACGACCTTTGTACGTATCACATTTTGCAACAAAAACATTGTTTTTGTTTTTAATCTCTATCCACTTATCTAATGCTGAACTGACTTGACAGTTTTGACTCAGAGATTCCTTAGATTAAAGTCTTTAAAAAATGAGTGAGTTTGAGGGCGAAGTACAAGTGTGAATTAAGGAGAGAAAATTCCTCAGCTGCAGCTTAGAGTCGATAGAAAACTGGTCAAGTCTTTCATGAATGTCGATCCCGCGTCAGAAATTCTGTTTATCAGGAACCTAAAGATGTATAGTCAAAAATGGTAAAAATCAAGGACAAACACGGTCATCTAGGCCACGTGGCGTTTCGCATGTCACAGTGACTGCATCAACAGGCTGGCACTCCTTTTCATCAACAACTGTCCGAGTTTTGTCAAACAAGAGCAGAACAACATCGAGTTAAAGCTCAATAAATACGTAATACATGGTAGCGAGAGCCACAAATCATCGTAACTGATGTAGCCACTAAAAAAAAATCAAATTTTGCTCGTGAATTTAAAACTTTGGCAAAGATGGCTGTTGTCCACTCAGAGAATATTCTGAGGTGAAATTAGGGTGTGACCGGGAATCAAGGTCAAGTGACCCTGATCGCGTTAACAAAATAAAACTATACCAGACATGCAAAGATATCGAATATGTTATGTAAGCGAACATCTAAGTAACCAAAAAAGAGATATAACATGACGTATGTGTACATTGTATTTGACTTTATTTTCAATCAAAATGGCCCTTGATTCATCTGTTTCCAGTTCGAAACAACTGAGTAACTAATAATTGCTCTTGTCTTGTTTTGTGTCCAATCGGTATGAACCTTAATAACCTCCGGCTTTCTCTCCGCTATAGTTTGAAACTGAAAGAATACAAAATTTACAAAAGTGGATGCCCATACAACGTAGAACTTGTCAGCATGTTATACTTTGGCCGTCAAACCACCTTTCTCACTTGCATCGTACCTAATCGCACCTTTAGGCGCACGTTGCAAGACATTCATAAGGCCTCGGTTCGTATTTTGGCGAGAAGTCGAGCAGTCGATTTTTATTCTGAGTTTTGTCCAATGAGTAAAGTAATAAATCAATAAAGCTAATATACGATGGAAAAACTCTTGTCCGTTCTAATTTCGAAACGAGAAGCGGAGTAGACTAGACATCACCTTTGGTATTCCAAAAAAAAAAAATTTCTCCTCCTGCCTGACAATTTTGTGGGCGCTCGATGAATAAGCGACAGCGGACGGGAGGATCAAAAGTGCTATGTGTGATTTTCTCCGCCGTGCTTTTGAATGAGCCCAACGGCAGTGATGTCTGACGTAGGCATCTCAACAAAACTCCGGTACATTACAAGGCCTTTTATGAGAACAGGCTGTTTTGTTGCCCCCAGTGACTCTGAGCAAACTTAGCCAAACATATTGCATCCTGAATATAGGAAGTCTGCAACTGACTTACGCTATCACAAAGGTAAAGTTTGTAATTTTGATGTTTGAATGAATTATATCTCTGGGCTTCAGTTCAGTTGAGCGCTTCGTGAAAAAGTAAATTCGCCGTAAGGTAATTGACATGTACTCTAATACTATTAACCTATGATAAAAGTCGATGTAATTTTAATTTCATTCCTTTAATTTTACGAGTATGAAAGTCTTTATTTCACTTTAATTTCGTTTGAATAGTTATTAGTATTATTCTTTGCCTGTACATTTTTTCTCGTTGCCATGTCATGGGGCACGGCCTCTGCTTGCCTGAAATACAAACCGCACCAAAACTTATTCAATAGGCCATTAGTTTATGACTGTGGGGAGGTAGGAAAAGCGATATGCAGAGAATTGATCCACGGGAGGTGTTTAGTTGATGACATCAAAACTAATGAAGAAATTGCGTTTGTTACATTCTTCTAGTTTTCTTCAGGCTCTTCAATGATACTTTTTTTCCTTCCACATAATCGTAACTACTGCCTGCTTTGTGCTTATCAATTGATCTGTTTTGATTTCCCGTGAACTGTTTCCGGTTTGTAGGTCACTCAGATCGATATCTAAAATTAACACGAAATTCCTTGGCATAATATAGCGCTGTATACAGAACGTGATGTTTCAGTATGTCCTGCTGAAGACCCTAATTTTGTCAGATAGCGGCCTCCAGCCTTGGTCATCTCTAGCGGTTCAAGAAACAAAAGCAACAAGATCAAATTTGTCTCAAAGGGAAAAGGTGTGTATGTATTGAAGAGGCAATCGTCGTTTATATCTACAAAAAATATGTTTGTTATGACTTGTTGAATTTTCTTTGTTTTACCCCCTTCGTGAGTTTCCATGGCTCTTGCCTGCGTTTTGCAGTCTAGCAGTCGGTAAGTGTTATCAATGGCTAATTTCTCACCGAATCCCACCGGGAATTGTCCGTTTTATTTGAAACAATTTTGCATATCATCTCAATCATCGCGGGATTCAATAGTAATTCCATACCGACAATTGAAGTACCCGAAAACCGTCGGCACTTTAAACTGGATCGATCAGTGATATTTGGTTGATGTTTTTTTCAATAAATTCTCTTTAGATTTTCATTGCGGACTGCCTGGCATCCTGACACGACAATCAAGCAATCGACTTTACCGAGCTCGTCACCAACACTGCCACTTTGATTTGGTGAAAAATGGCGAAAGGCTTGACAATGTTCACACTGCTAATGTTGTGTAATAACATCTTGGCTGCACGCAAACCAAAGCACAATTTTCGAAGCGGTTCAGGATCGGCTAAGCGGCCAAACATCGTTTTCATTCTGACAGATGATTTGGACAGTGCGCTTGGATCACCAGAGGTAATGACGAAGACTAGCAAAATTCTTCGAGAAGAAGGAGCCGATTTTGTGAACGCGTTCGTTACAACACCAATGTGCTGCCCTTCCCGCGCCAGCATTTTGACTGGTTCCTACGCGCACAACCACAACACGTTCACCAATAACTTGAACTGTTCATCCCCATCATGGAGAAGAGGTCCAGAGAGGAAAAGTTACGCAAAGTACTTAGAGTCTTCGGGATACATAACAGGTAAGTGAACACACTGATCTACTCGTCTTGAACTATGATTATCCTTTATTAGCACATTGTCTGCAGTCATATAACTTTCACTTTTGAGAATACTTTACATAAGTATTGTGGAACCAAACCAATCATTTTTTCGGTTTCTTCACCGGAGGTCTTACTACAAAATTGACGATATCGAGCCTTCGTTGTTCACGTTGGTCATCACAAACTGCTACCCTACCATTACCCACAATATAATTGTCATGAATATCTCGATGACATTCTTTTTGTTGCTCGGTTTTCAAACGGCGCTACGTTGCATGGCTTACTCTCATTGTCCTTTTAAGTGAATTACGTCAGCACTGGTCGAGTTTTAGCAAAGAGCTGATTCATAGAAATTCCGGTGAGGCTGCAACTGACATGTTAACACCATTCATATTTGGTGGTTTAGCTGTGTTTTGGTCGCGGTTAATCAATTCATGTATCACTGTTATATTTTCATTAGAGATTATTTGATCAGTTTACTTCACTTGGCAAGGAGCGATAAAAGGAAGAACGAAAACTTCTCTCTTCAAAAGTAAACAATTTTTTTCTTTCGACTAACTATGCTTAAAATCACGAAGCTATTGTTTGTTTTGATTTCATCAGAGAAATGAAATGAGAGAAAATCGTTTGATTCAAAAACCATCCATATGGCGAAACCTCAGCAGCAAGTCTTAAGGTCGTCTTAAGATTTAGTAGGATCAAACGGCAAGGAAATGTCTCCGCATCAACAAGTAAAAATCTCCCTTGATGTGAAAACTCACTCTCTTCTGTTGCTTTTGCTATCTCAAAACGTTTTTACATCCTTCCAACCATGAGTACACGTTCACAATGCTGACTTAAGGTCCACATTCATTAACGGTTCGGCGACTTACATTCTACTCTTCGCTTTTGTCATATCAGACAAGTTATTCAAGGAATGTCGCCTTTGGGTTGAAGGTTGCCTTATCTGATGAAATCCCCAAAAAAACTGTTTTACAAGCCTGATAGTGGTCTGTTTGTACGTGTCTACTAAAACGATTACTCGAAGTGTATCACTGAAATTACTTGTAATTGCATTTGGGCAAATACGTACTAGGGAATTTTGATGAGGTAAGATGTCCTAAAAAGGATTCATTTGCATAATATCCATTTACCATTTAAGATTGTGGTTTTGTTCTGCTCTCGTTAAGGCCCCCCCCTAATGATGGTCGAATTCAATACTAATTTTTTTGTAGAAATGAGATAACACCAGTGCACTGAATAAAGAACAATACAGTTAGCCGTGATGTTTTCGGGATGTACGTTGTTCCCTAGGAACTAGTCACCAAAAATAGAGTTCAAATTTAGTCTTTTTCCGATATCATGAAATAGTGCCAAGATAAATTGTTTACTCTTAAGCGTGCTGAAGCTAGAAAAGGATGAAACAAAGTAAACGCAGTTATCATGAACATCACGAGTTTTCTCTCTTTAAACTGGCAGCTTGTTTGTGATGAAAGTTTGTCGGCTCCTAACTCTGTCTCAACAAACATCCTGTAACATGGACTTCATGAACGGACTTAGGCAAACAAAGATCATGTGAACACTGTAAATTTTTAGCACTTATTTCAAAAAAATTCTGACATCACCATAAATTACTTCTGCAATCTGGAACCTTACCCTTCACTCGTCAAGGTCATATACTCACGAGTAATTAAGCAAGCTTTGAAGAAAAGTTTCCGTGTGATGAAGCAAACGGAACGAGACAGATTTATGTAAGGATTATTTGTGGCTGCGGAGGCAACTTTGACAACTTCGGCGACTGGAGGAGCATGGTAATTGAGAAGGAAAACAACGAAAACGCACGCACTTGATACATTTTTATGGGCTGATGAAGACTTCTTTTCGGCAAAGCTATCATGTATTTTTTCCGCCTTTTTTTCATGATATATGCTTTTTGATTATTTTATCAAGCTGGAGTGGAGTTTTAACTTGAACAAGCTGAGCTCGTCTTGCTTGAAGGGTTCGGCTACCGAGTATATATTTGACTGATTGAGTTTGGTTGGAGAGTATCATTTTATTGACCCAGGCTCAGACTGATCATGGCCTCAAACAGGAAGGCACATCACCCAAATTGTTTGGATGACGTGCCTTAACCCAACACTGAAGTTATTTTTAGAGGTTGCTGAATTCCTCAATGCATTTTTCTAGCAGCAGGTTTTTGCTATTGTGAAACTAACAAAAGCGACAAAAATTCACTGAATGAACATAATATTAATTTGATCCGTCCCTCTCACACTCCGTTTCTTTATTTTATTTTTTGCCCTCTTTTCTTCAGCCTTTCCTTTTTATTTTACTTTGCGGTTATGGTGTCAACAGCAGAAACGTGACCATTTGAATGTTGTAAACTGAAACAAAACCTAAAACTTACCGAAATAACTGCGCTAAAAAATGGAAAAAGGCATTCTATCAACAGATTCACACTAATCGAGGAAGCTTTATTTTCTTTACAAATGCAGTGTCAAAATATTTTCCTCTTTTTCCACCCACAATGATGTCAATCGATAAAAACTATCAAAACTAGAACTTATATCGGGTTGGGGTTAAACGCTGCTCTGAGTCATAGAGAATTCAACTCACAGCAATGCTATAAAGATGTTGTAATTTTTTCAGTTACCGGATTCATCAAGAATCCTCTTTTTTTTTTAAGTGCGGGGGCATTGTCTGTCGATTTTCCGGATATCTAATGATCCCAGTGTTTTCCTGGAAAACTGAGAAAGAACTTTCTTGAATCATCTGACTCAGAAAGGGAAGTGCTAATGAGATTCATGGCCTGTGGATTCTCATACCATCACGTCTTTCTCCATCACTGTGGAGGCTATGATTTACTGACACGTCTAATTAATATCTCAGAAGGGGAACTGTTATACTATTCGTTAAATTTTTCCCCTCGCGACACAATAATATTGAAATGGAATTTGAACTAAAATCCCCTTTTCTAAGGTTGTATAAGTTCGATTGTGAAACTCTGACTAAGTGGCGGCTCTTCTCACAAAAGGAGGTGGGCCTCCCCTGTCATTAAGAATAATTGAAAAGAAAAACGACCTGGAGGAAGCCGGCATGAGCCAGGGCGGGTTTTTTTGTGGTATTTAGCCGAATATACCAAACCAAAGTGCAACAGCAAACAGGCTATGTAAAATGGTATTATGTAAGGTCGAGAAACTTCTTGTTTTTGAGAACCGTTTTGTTCTTTTTTTTTTTTCATTTTTACCTAGTAGGATACTCGTTGACTGCAAATGCATGTTGAAAAGAACAATGTCTTCACCTTCCTGTGTTAATAATTTAATTGGACTCTGAAATGTTCATCCAATTAAAGAATCTTTCAGTAGATCACTTCAAATGCAGTTTATCAGTTGATCCTATATTTGAAAGGCACGAAGGAATTGTTTTCTTTGTCAATACTATGCTTGATTTTAACCAAAAAGCGTCTTTGATGTGATATCCTCCTTCGTTTTGAAGGGAGCTTTACCAAAGCCTCGAAACCTTTCTTTTTGAGCATGTTAAACCGCTGTATTTACAATTTCATCTTCATATTTTTTGTCCTTTCTGTGATACTGAAACAATTTTTAGTGTAATAGAAAAAAATCCGAGCCCAGATGGGACTTGAACCCACGACCCTCCGTGATCTAGTCGGATGCTCTAACCACTGAACCACTGTAATACTGAACCAAAATCGAACCTGGATGAAGTGCAAAACTGAGTATTTCGAATATTTTTAAAGGAATTCGTCCTGCGGATAAACGAAAAATATGAGCTAATCAGGATTTAAATATCGTTTAAGTTTGTGGAAACCGGACATGATAATTTCTATGCGCGTTAGTGGGGCAGCTAAGTGTCTCTACTTTAATGTTAATCTTTTCATTGCATGTGTAGGTAATAATTGGTGCGAATAAACTATAACAAGATTTGCGCTGAACAGTTTTTGAACCCAGTCGACCCGACTTGCATCGTTGGAACAACGTATCCTGAATGGGACACGCACCTATCATACATTGTCCACATCTGACTTGCCAATTTGAAACTGAAAATTTTAATAAAACTTCTTACAATTTATTTTCTTTAAACCTGGCCAGCTGCACGACGTAAGGGATATTTTTGATGACTCTGGCGACCCCTTGGTTATCTCAGTGTCACAGGTCCACGCGCCTCACGGTGTCGGCTTTTTAATGACTTTTCAGATCGTAAGACGTGTAAACAGAATGTCAGTCAGTCCTGTCTGAGAAGTTATTTAAAGATCTACTGTTTGGATTTACCAGTCAGACGTTATCGTATGAGCCTAATATAATTGCCAGCAAGCCAAAAGATGAGATAAACGAATCGATTACTTCAACAAACGCTCCAATCTCATTTGCTTGTAAAGGCTTTTTCTTTTACTTCACTATTCAACTTTGGGGTACTAGCAATTGCAGTTGTTTTGCAAAACCTGTCTTTAATTTCCTTCTCTGACATTCTGACATGGGACATTCTTCTGTATAGTGAAACTGCTTCACAATAAACTTAGTTTTGCGTGTTTTTCTCCAATTCTTTGACATCTAGATTTCTTTAGCAATAACCCAATCGCATATGAATTATCATGTTTGACAGACAGGGAAATGATACTTTTGGAAATGTTAGCCTTAACGCGCTCAAATTCAAATGATCAGCAAACATATAAGCAGCAGTCGCTAGGACTGTCATTGTCTTGTCGAGCATTAGTTTATGAAAAGCGCTCTCGAGAGTCACAAATTGCATGCACCACAGCCTCACTTGGTCACGGGAAGGAAATTTTTTAAAGGCTTTGGGAGTTTTAATAATTGCGACTAATTTCTTTTCACTCTTAGTGGTATTAGGAAGGATTATCTTTTTAGCACGGAGATACAGATATACACAAGAAAGATTTTGGTTAAACTTCCTTGAGTCTCGTCCAGGTGTCGCTTTTAAATACCCAATAAAATATTGATGCGATCAGTTATTTGTCTATGGAAAAATTCCACTTTGCTTTTACGTCAGAGCATGGTTATCTGTTGAACCTTCTCACGGAATCGGCTCACAGTCACCGGACATATTTTGCATTAGAAGTTGCTCGGGTGTTTCGTTAGTTAAGAGCTAAAAACAACAGCAACCATGAGGCAGTTTTTTTTCGGTCTGTAATATATTTGCGCACAGATTTGTTTGACATTAAAATCGTCACATTTTCATCATGGATTTTATTTAGACCATTAACTAGACTTCTTATTCCCTGAGGGTTTTCGTCTCTAAGTGTGGCAAACTCTATAGGCCGGGTTTTTTGTGCCTCCTGTGCCTACCTTCTAGGAAGGCCGTAGACACTATGTTATAGTGTTGCGTATGTCCGTAAACCTTCACCCAAGTCCCTCGCAATGGCGGACCATCATGAGACACTCTTACGTGTAACGTCTCTTGCGACACGTCCTGGTTCAGCTCTGACACTGGCCATCGTCGAACGAATCTCATTGGGTTTCTGCGGATTTATTTTTGGTTTTGTTAACTTGAGTTCGATCTTTGTTTAGAGTGTCCTCTCTGCATTACGACTTTGTTATCGATTTGAATATAAAGCTACGTCGTCAAACGTTCTCACATGTGTGTCTTACTCTAAACATCTGAAATATCTTTTTAAGAAAATGTTAATTAAAAGGGAAAAAATAAAGGAAAACGAAACGAAAAGTAAAAAAAAGAAGTTGACGCGGCGAGGGCTCGAATCTCAAGAGGAGTAAATACATCCATTGTACTAGGTACACAGAGCGAGCGAAGTGGCGAAGTTTTGCATAAAAATACATTTAATGCACATTTTTAAAAGTCCATTAACCAGTGCAAAAACTCTGTTCTAACCATGTCCTCCTTTTGTCACAGTTTTGGCGTCGACAAGAGCTGTCCATTAGCCCCTCCACATTTCACACCTCATTTTATGCTGTTACGTTATAACTGTCAAACAGAAAGCAACATGCAGTCATGGACTGCCTTTTATTACACGGTCTAACCTAAACCATGGTTTCGCGTAGTCAGTTGGCCTCAGAATTTCTCTATAAAAGGGTTGATTCAATTAAATAAATGTTCCTCCATTGTTAGCTTTCGGCCCTCTCGACACTTCACAAAAATGTTCAGATGAAAGGTTCAGCCAAATTGAGGATTGTTTGAGACGTTATTTTGTTGAACAACGGCTAAACTTTGTTTACATAATCAGATCTACATGATCATTTGCAGGCTACTTTGGCAAATACCTAAATGAGTACGATGGGAGCTGGGTACCAGCGGGCTGGAAAAAATGGGAAGGACTGATTTTTAACTCCAAATTCTACAACTACACAATACGACGAAACACGTTCAAAGAACGACACAAGATGGACTATAAACAAGATTACTTCACTGATTTTATCACCAATAGGAGTATCTCTTTCATAATGAAAACAAAAGAAAACAAACCACACACCCCTTTTCTTGCTGTGGTGAGTCATGCAGCCCCTCATGGTCCAGAGACGCCTGCTCCTCAATACGCTACAGCACTTCCTGGTGCCCAGGCTCCAAGGTATGACCAAGATTAGGCATAAGAGGGCCAATATCCACCGTTACTGCAAGACTGTGTCACTTGTTGCGGGAGTTGATCCGTACGAATGAACTGATTTGTTGTTGTTATTGTTGTTTGTTTTGTTTGTTTTTTTCTTGTCTAAATTTCACAAAACACATTGTTCGCTGTTGGGGTTTTCTGAACATGTTTGCTGTCCTATAATTTAAGTTTAACCAGAGTGAAATTCCGTTCGTTTTTAGATTTTCTCTGCTAGAGTGTATTCGATGTCAGCATGCTTCCTAGTCATGATCGAACCTTACCAACCCTGTGCAGCTTACGAACCTTACCAACGCTGTGTAGCTTACGAACCTTACCAACCCTGTGTAGCTTACGAACCTTACAACCCTGTGTAGCTTACGAACCTTACCAACCCTGTGCAGCTTACGAACCTTACCAACCCTGTGCAGCTTACGAACCTTACCAACCCTGTGCAGCCTACTAATCGCTTGCCTAACACAGCTGAGTGATAATATCGTCTTTGGTTTTCACTTTTTACAGGTATCCCAACTGGAATTATATATCACTTGACAAACAATGGATCATGAGAGAAACGCCTGCGATGGATGCACAAAAAATAGCCTTTGTGGATCTGCTCCACCGCCGTCGCCTTCAAACATTGCTTTCAGTTGATGACTCAATCGCGCGAATCTTCCGCACCCTCCAGTCCCTTGGAATAGAAGACGAAACTTACATATTCTTCACATCAGATCATGGTTACCATCTGGGTCAGTTTGGTCAGGTGAAAGGCAAGTCCATGCCCTTTGAGAGCGACATTAGAGTTCCCTTTTACGTAAGAGGTCCAATCATTCCCAAGAATATCAGGTGAGACACATCACTCTGTTTCACCTCGCTTCTGAACTTTTCTTACTTAATCTCATTAAGACGACTTTTGCGTCAACCAGCGTCCTTTGCCTTGTCCTGTTCTTTTTCTCTGTGTTCTTCTTGTTCCATGTCTTTCCTTGCCTACCTTGCCCCTCCTAATTTTTTGAAGATACAGCAAGATCATTTGCTCGGTTAAGATTTCTTTAGTTGGCAGAAGGAGTACTTCAGACAAATTGTGAATTCTAATCGTTAGCCGCAAATGCATAAAGTAAGTTGTCGATCTGTTTGGTCTCGATAAAGGTTTCCAAGTGAATAGGATTGACAAGAAGAAGAAGAACAGAGTTTCCACCTTTTATCGATCGTTAATTTTATTATTATCTTCAACTGTAAAGTGTTAAAGTGATACTGTTATGTGAAAATATTGAAGGGCCGCAGCCAGGATGGAACATAGTTGAAATTTACGTAAAACGATCTCTGGCTAAAATGATTAAAAACTACGAGCTTTCGACTGCTCGAACTGCAGTCTTCGAGGAGAAAAATGAATGTTAAGAAAGCGATGAGAGAATTTAAGTAAAGACATGAACTGCGAAATAATAAGAATGTAAATGATTATGAATATTTGTTAAAAAGAATGTTGTATTGTCCAAGTAATAACGGGCAAGAATTGTTATCTGCGTTAGGTGTCACTCTGGTATGCCACGCTTCTAATGTCTTTCTGGTTCTAAAAGTGCCTTTGTCAATAATTGACGCGTTTTCAAAATCAATGGCGTGATTGTTGGACCGGGCGTGATTAGCAATTCTAGAACCTTTGGGCGCAGTGTTGATATTTCTCAAATGTTCTTTTTTTCGGGTATTAAAAGCTCTACTGGTTTCCCCAATATAACACCACGAACAATTTGCACAGGGAATTTTATACACGACGTTGGTCTGCGATTCCATCGAAAGTCGGATTTTCGGAGCTGGGAACTGTTGTTGTAGAGTGGTAAATGGTTTGTTTACAATTGTGATATCGTGTTTTTTGAGGACACTTGTCAAAGGTTCAGTTACTCCTTTGATGTAAGGAAGAGAAGCGAAAGATTTTCGTGACTCGGTTGGTTCAACCATCTTGAAAAAACATTCCAACAAGTTCCTCTGGGGATACATTTGTTGTTGAGAATCGAGTTTTTCTAGCCTATGTGTATCAAAACCACACAGAAACACTCGATCCTCAACAACAAATATATCCCCAGAGGAACTTGTCGGAATGTTTTTCAAGATGGTTGAACCAACCGAGTCACGAAAATCTTTCGCTTCTCTTCCTTACATCAAAGGAGTAACTGAACCTTTGACACGTGTCCTCAAAAAACATGATATCACTGTTGTAAACAAACCATTTACCACTCTACAACAACAGTTCCCAGCTCCGAGATTCCGACCTCCGATGGAATCGTAGACCAACGTCGTGTATAAAATTCCCTGTGCAAATTGTTCGTGGTGTTATATTGGGGAAACCAGTAGAGCTTTTAATACCCGAAAAAAAGAACATTTGAGAAATATCAACACTGCGGCCAAAGGTTCTAGAATTGCTAATCACGCCTGGTCCAACAACCTCGCCACTGATTTTGAAAACGCGTCAATTATTGTCAAAGGCACTTTTAGAACCAGAAAGACATTAGAAGCGTGGCATACCAGAGTGACACCTAACGAATGAATGGAGGTCCCGTCTCCTGCAGGGTTGGGGTAGGAGACGTTAATTTCCCACGCACGAGATTACTGCTGTGTTGTTGAAGCTTAAACCTCGTAGGGGACCCATGTCCGATTGTTTCTGCTCCAGTACTTGGTACAAATCATTAAATAGATAAAAATAAATAAATAAATAAACACAGATAACAATTCTTTCCCGTTACCTGGACAATACAACATTCTTTTTAACAAATATTCATAATCATTTACATTCTTATTATTTCGCAGTTCATGTCTTTATTTAAATTCTCTCATCGCTTTCTTATCATTCATTTCAACCGTCGAAGACTGCAGTTCGAGCAGTCGAAAGCTCGTAGTTTTTAATCATTTTAGCCAGAGATCGTTTTTAAATTTCAACTGTAATACTGTTATGTCTATCTGACAAGTAATGTTCAGCCAAGTTGATCTTGTTTGTTATACAGTGTCAAAAACATTGTCTTAAACATTGACCTGGCACCCACATTTTTGGATATTGCTGGCATAAAGATACCTAAAGACATGGACGGGATGTCAGTTATGAAACTGTTCCGCAAGACAAGATACGGACGAAGAGCAAAAAGGTACACTTTTTCCCGTAACTTTGGGAACGAAGTTTATAATATTCGTGTCAGTGCGTACTAATCGTCGATCACTATTAGAGAGGTAGGTTATGAAAGAAGTACCCCAAGTCTCCTGTACATGCACTGATCATTGTTGTGATCAAAAAAGTGATATCAGTGTGTAAACCTGTTTAGCCATCAGCCATATGTCTGTGAACAACGCTTGATGCCCCATCGGACACTGCTGACTTTTAAACAAAGGCAAACTAGAGCTGTAGAGGATTGTCTTTTTCTTGAAAGATATTTTGATGAATTCCGGCCCTAGTTCAAGAGAATTTTGTAGCTGAGAGAGGCATTTAAAGCTCTCCATAGAAACAGACGCCCCACAACTTAAGCTTTGAATGTGTTCGTTATTTAATGGTCTGTTTGTCTGTTTTTTTTTTGTTTTTTTTTTATACAGGCGAACGCATGTTGTATGGAGGGACACGGTTCTCATAGAAAGGTCTCGAGGGTAAGCAAAATAGTCAAACAGACGACAAACGTAGCACAAAAACTCACTTGAATTATATAAACGAAATATTTTCTGTTACTCGTGTTAGAAATTCCAAAGCCTCTGAGCGTTTAAATATTCTACAATGAAAAGTTTTGCGTTCATTTTAGGAAAACAGTTTTATAACATAACCAAAGCAAAGCGCGCGCTCTGATTGGTCAATTTAGCGTCCCCCATTTGCCCATGGGTGTACGCTGTTGACGTGAGCAAATGCAAAGACTATTTTTCCGCGCGCGCTTGTTTTTTCTGGTCACGTAAGATTTGTTAAATAAAAGGGAACTCTTTAGCTACAATGTATCAATGTTATGTTATAAAACAAATGGTAAACACCACAGCGTACACTATTGAGTTATGGATGCACTTGGGAGGTTTGCTAAGCACTCAAGAAGCTTGAGTCGCTTCTTTCGTGCTTAGCAACCTCCCGCGTGCATCCATAACTCAATAGTGTACGCTGTGGTGTTTACCATTTGTTAAATAGTTTGGTTCGTTTTGGAACCGTTTAATTATCTCGAATATTCAAACGAATTAGTGGTCACATCTATCACTAAATCAAAGGGATAACAAAATTTGAACGACCAAATTTCAAACGACCATCGATTGAAATTTGAAGATTCGCGAAAGCGAAAAAAGAACAAATGATTTTATGTTTTATTAGGTCAACCTCCTGATCAGCAACAACGTCGAAATCGTTTCGCTTACAAATGCGTGCGCTGAAAATTTCACATTTTGTTGTGGCAATGAGGCTTGAAATACCTCACAGAATAATAGCTGTTATGTTTGGGTTTAAGCCCTTTAGGGAAGTGGCTCCCTGACGAGATGGTTCGAAGAGTTTGCGTTGGATATTCATTTGGAGTGTTGATAGCCTTAAAACAGTTACTTTCCCCTGTTTATATTTTAGTTTTATACCCCAGGAATCAATCACCTTATCTCTCTTCATATACACCGAATGCAAATATGGCGTCCAATTTGAATTGCCATTGTTCTGGACTGACTAGCCTCGTCTTCACGTGGAAATACAAAAGCATTATTTCATGTGTGAGAGGCTAGTCACTCCAGAACGATGGCAACTCAAATTGGACGCCATATTTTCATTCGGTGTATGGCACCAATGCAACCTCACTAAACGTGCTTACAACGTGGTGTGCTACACGGCTCGCCTTCCCAACTCACAAATCCTCTGATTGCTGTCATTTGACTAATTTAGTATACTGTACACGTACATTGTAGAAATGTTGGCAATGTGTCATTTTAGTTGGAGAAGGACGAAGAACTTCCTACAAGGGAAATCAAGGAACAAGACTGTTTCAGTCAAGGAGCGAAAGATGACCGTTTTGGAAGAAATCTGCTCCAGGCCAAAATACCAATCTCCATGCCAACCCAAGCAGCTCTGGGAGTGTCAGACAGTCAATCGTAGACCAAGGCTGAGAAAGTGTAGAAGAAATACCACAACTACAATAAGGACGGCTCCAGTCACCCAACCAACCCCTTTCACCACTCCTGTAAAGATGTGTGTTTGCGTGAAGCAAAAACCTGATAGCGGAGTGCACCAAAACCAAAATGACATGCTGCACATCCAGAGTGAGTTCAACGGCCGGTTTTCCTTCCTCCATAAACTTTTTGTAATTTACCCTTCAGCATCGCAAAAAATAATAAAGAACTCTTGCCTTTGCGTGGGTAATTTAACCGGTTGTCACTTTAAGAGCTACCTCATTTGGTGATCAGCTTTGCTTATAATCATCATAATTTTGTCATCTATTACCTTGCAGAGGAGCTGCTCATGAACGGCATGGATTATTTCACCAAAGAACTCAGACGAAGATCAAAAAGGTCTCGTTTCCTGAGCTACAATCCAAGGAAGAGAAGAGATGAGTTCAACGCCAAGAGATACCAGAAGGAATTGGCTAGGGCTTTAAGGCTACAAAATCGACGCGCAAAGTCCAAAGTGCTTATTAGGACTCCTGCTAGCCAACTAGTACCCCAGTCAAACGTGACTCGACCACCTCAGGAGTCTTCAGAGGTGCAACGAGCCAGGGCGGAAAAAATTGATAAATTGAAAGAGAAAATTCAAGGAATACGACTACGCCTTGGTGCGTTGCGCGACAGAAAGAAAAAACTGCTTCTGATAAGCGCGCGGGACAAGTTCATGGAGTACCCCTGTCCATGTAACCACGGTAATGATACCGTGAGAGAGGTCAAAGAAAACTATAGCAATGATCAGTTGCAGATATCGCTGAGGAGAAGAATTAAACAGTCAAAGGTTCCATCCCGCAAAACAGAGAGCAAGAAAAAAAAGGCGAAAGCGAAGCCAAGACGCAGCAAGTGTGCCAGCCCTGGTATGAACTGTTTTTATCAGACAGAGGATCACTGGAAGTTGCCACCGCTTTGGAAAGGTAAATAATTTCACATTCTATCTGAAGAATAAAGATTTCAAAATCAGGAGAACAAATATATCGTAGGGTGTTCGTCTTATGAGTCGTTATGCATAACAGTAAGAGAAAGGAAAGAGATCTCTTGTGCACAGCCCACGTTAAAATATTCTCCAATGATCGATCGCACTAAGATTTTGACACTCTTGAAATATTTGTACGGGTAGTAAGCTTAAACTGATAGGAAAATGTTTTTGGCCATTGGTCAAAAACAGGCGACTAAGTTTATTATCTCCCCTTGTGAGGCGCACGAAAACGAGGAAGAGGGTTTAGTTTCCATGGCAAACGCTCCAGTCGCACAGAGAATTCCCCGCGGGTTCGCAATGCATGGCCACTACTCTTCATTATCTTATAGTGGTTCTGAATACCCTACTTGTGCCTCCCTAGGTAACCCCGTAGTATTTTCAGTAGTTTCGCACTTGACTATTTCAAAGAGAAGCTCAGTTAGAATCCTTCGTTGAAAACACTGAGTTGAGTTTTTGTATTAGTATTAGAATTAAGTGAAAAATTTTCGCCTAAGGGAAGGTACGTTTTTTATTGGGGGGGGGGGGGCGGGGTATTAGAAATTTTTTGCCGAAAAAGTCGTGGCCCTCCCACTTTCCAGATCGGATTAATGCATGACCCTTCATAAATGCCTAAACAAAAGGATCTGACCCTCCCCCCACCTCCTCCAAGACAAAAATAACCGGAAGTGAAAATAATTTAATGGGGCGTCAACAACCTCGGAAGCCCCCACTCAGAAATGTACAGCAACAAGTGACCTCGTCACTTTCTGAGGTGGAAACTGACTCGCAAAGTGATGTAGTAGATCGACTTGTCGGTTCAAGCCCGAGTAGCTCAAATAACGAATCGTCACCGGACACTAATTTTAAATCAGAGCCCCGCGCGGAAACATTACCGACGTCAATATATAGACGAAAGCGGGCACGGGTCGAGAGAGACAATTACGTTAGTTGGGACAAGATAGTTTTTTGACGTAATATTTCGACATCTGTTTAAAATGACGTAGATTGATTTAGACTGGTAGCTTTGCTTGTATAGATAAGTTTTAGGTTTCTTTTCCCTTCGCGTGTTTGGTAACAAATAATTAAAAGTCAACTAACCGACATGGAGTTGTTTTTCCTAGCCGAAAAAAAATACTATGGCTGCGTATCAAACAGGTTTGACCCTCCCCAATTTGTAAAATATTTACTAATGAACCTCCCCTCCGAAGCCCCGGTCCACCCCCTCAATAAAAAACGTACCTTCCCTAAACATGTGGAGCTCATCAAATTTACAAGAGACGTGTTTAAGATTTACTTATTGAGTTTAAACAACAACATCATGATCTTGCTTAGAACGCCCTGTTCTGACTAGAGCGGCTGTCGATCCTCGTGCCAGGGCTAAATGTTATGCCTCGTATTTAGGAGCTAGTTACATAGAATGGTCGAAAGAGAGCTGATATGTAACAAACAGGATGTTTGTTTTTTTGTTTTTGTTTATTTTTTTGTCCAGGAGGAGAATTCTGTTTCTGTCCTAATGCTGCCAACAATTCTTACTGGTGCTTGAGAACAATAAATTCAACACACAATTTTCTATACTGCGAGTTCATCACAAATTTCTACGAGTACTTTGACCTCAATAAGGACCCATATCAGGTATAGTAACGCACAGTTTGTTTGAAAGTTAAGCAGAAGCGGGAATTTGCGATAGCTAGTCTCTGAGATGACTAATTGGAGGAAGATTTAAAACCAATCCTCCCATTTTAAAGCTTTTGAATGTCGAGCTGAACGAGTGTTTTGTCAAGCGAATCATTCTTTTAAAAGGATGTTTAGACTCTAATGACTCAGAGGAATCAAGGTTAGTACAGCCGTAATGCAAATGCTATATTGTACTTTCGCTTCTGGTAGAAATTATTGAGGGGGCTGTAAGTTACCTTGTCTTTTTGTCTTTAATTGGTCTGGGAAACAGAAAAATCAGGGAATTTTGAAATCCAATGTCAGTACCAACCTGATCGATGCCAGATGCACCTCATTAGGCTTTGTTCGTAACTTGTAACAAAATTAGATATCTATTTATTTTGCAGTTGCATAACATAATTCATGAGGTGAGTCCTGGTGTTCTATTAGAGCTCCATCATTTACTCGCCAAGATGAGAGGATGTAAAGGACAGGACTGCACGCATCACCATGGTAAGAAGTATCCTAAAGTAGCGCCCGCAAGTCCAGCTGTCAACAACCACTTGAGAGAGGGTTTGGAAGAGGGTCACATGACTCCTTTACCAACAACGCCATCAAACCTGCAAACATCTGCTGTAAGTTCGGTGAGGCCTTTGACTTCGGAGTCACCTTCTGTAGTGCTTGTTACTCGTTCGGATGTTACAGGAAACTCTCCGAAGAGTGTTTGGAACAACATTTCGAAGCCAACCACTCTTGAAAAGTTTACAACACTTGAACCAAAAGAAGTAAATGTGAATTTGTCGGAACATTCGACCGTGCAGTCGACATTGAATACAGAACGTGAACAACAACTAATGGAAAGCTTAAGTACCGAACATTCTATTCCTAGTCAATTGGCGCCTTTACCGACAGCTAACTTAAAGACAAACAACAGACCAGATGAAACATCAGGCATGGAGTCCAACCTCTGTTTAAATTGTTCCAGTTCCAAAAGCAAGAAATCCGACAAAGAAGGCATGAGTAGCAAAATACGGTTACAAAGCACTGTTACAAACTTAGACAGGTCCGACGCTGTACCGACAGTCTCCGTGGGATCTTCGGGACTCAACATAAGTTTACCAGGATTGAACGTCTCTTTAGTTCCAACTACATCAGCATCAGTAACTCCAAAAAGCAAAGAGAATACTGGTAGAATGCATTCCAAGATTTCTACACCAAAACCAACGAAGGGAAAATCACTCAAGAAGCGCAAAAATGGAGGTCGAGGAGGGAGAAAAAAAAATAAAGATACTTCGAAAGGCAAACCAAAGAATAAAAGCTCTAAAAAGTCCAGAAAGTCTAAAAAGAAATCTCCAAACGGGAAAAGATCGTCATCGTCAACAGAAAACAAAAAGAAACAAGAAATTACTGAAAAGGAGATGGTTGTCTTAAACACCACATTACGGTCTCCGGAATCTCCTTTAAATAATAATAGCAAAAAGTCTGACCACGAGAAATCTCAACTGACTGTGACACCCTTACTTGGCTCCCAACATGTACCCACAGCCTTCGTGAATTCTTCGGATCCTGACACAAGCTCTTCCAAACTAAATTTTTCTTCAATTATAGCAACATCAGCTCCTATTACTACATCAAATGAAGAGATCACAATGGAAACGACAACAGTCAAACCAACCAGGAGAAAGTCTGCGGGGAGAAGGAAAAACAACAACTCGAATGATAGGGACAGAAAAAAAACTACGAAAAAAATAAGAAAAATGAAGAAGAAAGTATCGGAAAGAGAAAACTCTCAAACTTCGGAAGAAATAGAGCAGACCATAAAGGCAGGAGGAGAAAACCAAACTGGTTTGAGATCAAAATCGACAAAAACAAGACCTGAGTCAGAAAACAAAGACAGCAAGAAAGGCAGTAAAGGATTGCCGGAAGTTTCACGAAAACGAGACAAGAAGCCGGCGAACAAGCGATCGGCAAATCAGAAATCCAAGAAAAAAGCTAAAGGAAAACATTCAAAGCAGGGACCGACTCAAATTAGCCAGGGGCGAGGGATAATAGAGGGTGGAGGTGAACCCCCTCAGGAAAATGGCACCAGTTTCTCTTCCAATCCAGAATCTTCGCCCTCTAACCCTTAAAAGCTATTTTTAATTTTTTTCTTTGCTGTCGGCTCAGTTTAGATGTGAAGAAACCATTCCTTACACATATCAAAAGTTTATACTTTTTTGTGAGTGACATACCCTCGTAAATCGAGGGTGGTAGAGAGGTTTGGTGTAAAGTCAAACCTTACATAGATTTGATAGTTTATTTGATAGTTTATGCGTTGTAAACAGTAGTTGCCGGTAAGTGAATGTGGGAAAGGTCTGAGGAATACAAACGTGTCTACTCAGTCACCCCTCCCTTGATGCTCGTTAATGTTGCCTAATCTATAGACTTTTTTAACCTAGACGTACCAACGTCGATGTTGGTTAGCGGTCACAAATGTGCCACTCTTATTTGCATTGGTTTTTAGTTGTTAACTTTACAAACTCCCATGAAAATTGATTGTTGATTTTTCTAGTCGAAGTTTTAAATTCTTCTTTGGAAGCGATTAGTCATGGTTTTTAGCTGCTACAAACAAATGATGAAACAAACTAATGTAGATATTCTGTAACTGGTCAATTTGAAATTCTTTACTGACTGTCTCCAAAAAAGTGAGAGTTGCCAAGTCTTTCATCTGCTATTTAAAATTTTTTACAAATTGGTGTGAGCTATGAAATGTTCAAGACGAGCTAGTTTTATTAATTAAGCCATTGGGTTGGTTTGCTGTTCGGCTGAGAAAGTCTCCATTTCCGTTTAAAGGTGACGCAAGACCGAATGAAACCACAAAACCTTTTATGACCTTTTATGTCTCTTTGATAACCGAGAGGTGGAGAAACTTTGAATCGACGCTTAAGCAGAGCTTTTCACAGAGATGTTACATTTCTCTATACCACAGATAAAAATTTATCGTCTATTTGGATCGATAAGAAAGTAGGATAATCTTTAAGATGTCTTTTTTTTATTTTTGCTTGAATCTTTTACGCTTTTAGAGTAAATTGCTGTTTTAGCTTATTTCAGAACAACTTTGTATGGTGATGGTTTTAATAAAGCTTTACGTAAAAGTAGTTTATCTATTGAAGTTATTTCTTTAGCAGAGTATCATGGTGAGTTCACTGGCACCTTTCCGATATTTTGCAAAGTTAAACTGTCTAAAAACGAAGTGCTGGTCACTCATCAAATTATACCGTGCCTTGGCACCCAGTCCTACTCTTCTCAAGCCGAAGTCTTTGTAACACTGCTCTCACTAATCGAGTTATCAGGAGTCCATATCAAGAATGAGAGCGAGACAATTTGGGTGCGTTCGTTCCCGTAAAGGAATCTGATCAATCAAACGAATCATTTGACATGCAGATGTTAAAAAGTGAAAGTATGATCTTTGCAGGTAAGCGAGGCAAATCCTCCCCTCCAAAATGTCCCTTCGTGGCTCAGTTGGAAATAGTGTACAACTAGGAGGCACGGGTTCCAATCTGTTTTTTTTTTTTTGTTGTTGTTTCTTTTTTTTCTCGTAGAAACGGGCGACTGAAGCGAAGTAGGCTGTTCTTCTTTCAGATATCACAAGCATTTTTTCAAAAGTTTCTTGCACCAACGGTTTTCACCAATAAAAATCCTCCTGTTTCCACTGCGTTGCAAATATATTCCAGCTTTCCTTATTTTGATTCCCTCGACACTATGGCTAAACCCGTAGCTGTAACCATTGATATCTCCTTGCTGTCTGGGGTATTTCTTTAGAATGGAAAGCCACGCGCGTCATTCCCCCTAATGGCGAAGATTGCTCTCCGTCAATATATCTGACTCTATAGTTTGTTAGAATGAGCTGCACAGCGATACAAAGTTCTCAGCCCTCATCAATGCGATTCCTGAAAGTAAAATGTTTTCTTTATTTGTTTCAAAGATTCAATTCGTTGACATTTATCAAGGTGCGACATTTATCAAGCACTAAATGCTGTCACACAAACTGCGGGGCTCGGAGTAATGCTTTTGGTTCGGACGTTATCCACGCCCGAGCCTTGGAATTTCTAAGGTGTGTCAAGTACGGCTAACCTATGAGTTTTGGTTTACCACAAAGATCCATTTAGAGCCTCTGATATTCATCTTTACCTTACCGATCTCCCCCTATGTACTGGTGGAGTGCAGCTTCTCTAAGTAAACCGACAACACTGCCTTATTGTTGTCAGCTCATCTCATGTGTTCATCATCTATGCCACCTATGTCAGAGAGTTTAGACACCGCTGGGCGTTGGCTTTAATTTAGAAGGTTATTTATTTATGTAATTAATTCTGAGGACGTCGCAGAAACTTACCAAGGACCATTCCAATAGCTATCTGTCACGAAGTGTGTGGCTGAGTGTCATCCTTGGTGAACACGTATGACGAGGACAATGATGATACTTAGTTCTTATTAACCGAGTGTGAGGTCTGTATGGGAGAATCTTGACCTAGGTCGCCGGTACAGACCGAACGCAGTGAGGTCTGTACCAGCGACCGACCTAGCACGGTTAATAAGATGGTTATTACATGGCTATGACTTATATGCCAATTTTTTATTTTCTTTGTACCTTTTTTTCTAGACCGGTCTAGATACCGGTCTCGATGGGAAAATCTAGACCACTTTCAATATTGATTTCAGCCAATCAAATTCGTGAATTCGGTAGTTCCCAGTCCTTGTGAGACACAGCCATATAATAAAAGAGAATATGGACTGTTCATTTTCTCCCGGTTTATTTATTATTTGTACTCTATATCTTTAGAGTGTAGCTATATTGTTAAGTACTTCTGACTCCTATTGATAGCAGGGATACTTTGTGAGCTTTCCGAGTGGACTTCCCTAGATGACACGTGCATAGTTGTTTTTGTACGTATTTTCTAAATAGTCTGAATAAAGGTATCTATTCTTGCAGACACAAGCCGACTATTCTCGAATTGTGCCAATATGTAAGACATGCAAAAGAAATGGGCGATTATTGATAACAAGAAATCATTGAGTATTAACATCCTCAATCTAAGTTGTTCCGAAAATCTCAATTACTAATTCTTTGCTCCTTGCGCTAGCTGTTTGAGGACATCACCATCGCTGCCACTTGCCTTACCGCCCCAGGTTCTCGTCCTTCAAGCCACGTCAAAGTGTGCGGCCGGCCAGGTTACTGAGTGTTAATGGAAAGTTACATTAATTTTGGTACATGTCTATTACAACTGGAATTCTGGAATCTCAATCTGCCGTAAGTATTATTTTCTTGCATATTCTTAAGTATTATTTTCTTGTATATTCTTAATCGCAGTAATAAAAATCAAATGATTTATAGCCGGAGAGCATGAGCTTATATTCCTCAACAACACTAATGAACGAGGACAAACAAAAATAGATCTTTATTTGAAGACACTTTTTCCGTTTTCCAGAAGTTTTTGTAAAATGACAAGTTTTTATTACAAAACGCAAAAGTATAGCATAGTTATTGAGTACTTTAGAAGAAAATCAACAACAACAACAACAACAACAACAATTCAGCTGTATTTAGTTTACACGGCGGTCTGGAGAGTGGTTCAGTACTGTCCAAGACCATTAACAGGGTCCCTCTTGCATTCTTAGAGATAACAATTTTCCTAAAATGACCCTGAGAAAGTCTTGAACCAATAAACGATTTTCAGGCTCTACAGTCTAATTTTTTCACCACCCTTTATGACCTTCCCTTCTGAACCGGCATAAATACATCTTAAGAAAGAAAAGATGTTTCGACACCTCTCTGAGGGGTTGAGTTTAAAAATATTATTTACCCTTAGCAATCCAATTGCAGGTCATGTAAAATTTGTATTTTCCTCTATCACTGCACTGTCCAGCAGTGAGATTGTGCCATACAGCACAGCCCTCAATCATAGCAACACAATTTTAGAGTACTCCAACAGCTTTCTGTCAAACACAACCAGTACATCAATTACTACTACTATCTTGACACAGAGTGAAAAAGATACCAACAAAAATTTCAGTACTTTATAGAATTTCCAGAGCCATTCATGTGAGTCACAGAAATAGATCATACAAGTTGAAGAACCAATTTCCTTTTCTATTAAATAAATCACTAGTATCTGCAGCCTCACATGTGAAATGAAAATTTACGAATACAAAATAGTATAATATAAACTGGGTCATAAATACAAATATAATGATGCTCTGTTTATAAAAAAAAATAAACTGTGACTTTTCAACTATTTACAGAGGCAAAGTCTAGTTTGCTACACTCTAAATTGTATTCAAGCAACTCCCATATAATGAACTATTACATATTAATAATAGAATTCTCAAAAGTTCATCAATATCCTGGAATTTTCTCTTTTTAGATATTTACTCTGAACACTCCCTTTCCTTACATTTTTTTAACTTTGAAACACCTAGCCTAATGTACCTCATTTCTAGCCAAATAATCTTCAAATTGAAGGTTTTTCGGGGTTTGAAGTGCAAATATAATATCATTCTTGTTTAAAAGTCATTGAGCTACATCAATCAATTTACTACTTCAAAACTGTATATTTGTTTTTCGTTTACTGGGTATGTGCTACAATGAATTTGTAGCATGCAATTCACTCACAGTGATGATGAAACAGATCTCATCAGTTCCACAATTCAGGTGGAAAGATCAACTGTCTTTTTTAGCAACCAGTGATTTGGGAGGAAATCCCAACCCACTTGGAGAGTAAGAGTTTTCAGAATGATTGGTAGAAAGCTATCTACATCTACACTACATATCTTTAAATGACCAGATCAGAGCTACCACATGATAAAAATCAGAGCTATCTCTATATTAATTTTTAACAACAGTAGTGTTATACTTGTTAATCCAGCACCACTTTCTTGTGTTTAACTTTTGAATGTGGAGTTCATGGCTGTAAAAAATTAGCAAATAAAAGGTGAAACACAATCGACTTTAGTCATGGTAGCAGCCTGCCTTTGTTAATTAATGATGAATAAGCATTTGCATTTTCTCTTCACTATCACGTACTTCAAGAACTCAAACTACTCTTGCCTATCACTTTCACAGTCTGCCCGTTTTTGCCCCCATTAACTAAATGTAAAAACCTAAAAAGAGGAGAGAGATCATCAAGTAGATGTTATCCAGTGAGATCAAGTGATGTTAATCATCACTTTTAATGAAAATGATTGTCCCCTCTATTGGAGGCTGAGCATGATAATTGTTTTAATATTAATTAAAATGCCAGTGTGCATGATTTCAAAGTTATGGGATGGGTTCTTTGATGGGACAGTTAAGGCCATTCAGAGGGAAAGTTGAACTTGGTTTTGAACTCTTCTATATAGCAGACTTCTGGCCTTGATCGCTGATGGGCAAAACAAAAGTGAAAAAAACAACAACGTACTATCGTAGCAAACTGCCCTAAGAGCTAAAAAAGTTAAATAACTCAAAGATAACTACGACAACTCCAACTCCAGGTCTTTAGCTTAAGAGGAGCCAGGGGCACTGTTTTGTTGAGGATGGACATTACAACACCCATATACTAACATCTCAATCCAATCACTCAGGAGTACAAAATTGAAAGCAAAAGTATTGGAATCAGGCAATTGTAATGGAAATGATAAAAAACATGGATTAATTCTGACAGTGGTTAGGGTATATAAATGAGCAAAGGACAACTCTTTTTTTAGCATTTAAAACATCCAAATAAATGTGAAACACAATTAAACAGATTCAATACCAACCTAGTGACTGCAGTGTTGAGCTCAACTTTGCAGAACTAATTCCTGTAAAATGTTGAAAACATGTCACAAATGATATTTAAAAGATGTTACATTTAGCCAAGTTATTGTTTCCAAAAGTTTTGGATGTCTTGCGTTAAACTTCTTTAACGTAAGCCAACAAACTATACATTTTGGCCAATTCTTTTATTTCCTAAATGTTTCAAACTAATAAATTAGCATACAAATAAAATTTGGAACACAAGAAGAAACTAAACCACAACATGTACATGTAGCTTGTCAATGAGACAAAGGGCATTTCATTTTTGGGATGGAAGGGAATGGAATGGGCTAATGCTGACAGCATTAAGAACACTAAAGAAAGTAGTATTTGTAATTAGCCCCTTTATCAATTTGTTTCATACCAAATGATTTGGAATACAATTATTTTGAAAATATTTTGAATTTAAACAAATTACTGTCGATAAGTTTTCTTAATTACTAGTATTATGTAATAGCTAACATTGTGACTAAAATGCCCTTTATATTCAGAACACCAAGTGCATGAATAGGACCATGAAATTCTGTTAATAATAAAATAATTTGGCAGTTCCTGCTTTTTTTTTTTGTTTTGTTTTCCTTGTTTTTTTGTTCGTTTGCTTGTTTGTTTTTTTCGGTTTTGCACAGTTCTTATACAGTATGGAAAAAGGTTGAGACATCTCCAATAATTCAAAATTATTCCTGGAAGTGGAGATGAACAATGGTACAAATTTGTTAAGCCACAGAATGGTGAGGTAAATATTCACCATTGTCACCAACACAGGGATATAATTGATTTGGTAAATGCCACACAAGAACCCAAAAAATCATTTATTCTAAACTTAAAACCATTGACATGAGATTTAGTTTCTTCAGCTTCCCAACAGTAAATAGGCTTGCTAATCACTTCCACACTAGCCAATCATTGCATGCAAAAAGCACTATTTACCTGTGTAGAACTAACCAATTATCATTATTTCTATTAATAACTGACCAGTCTGAAAGGATAATGAATCCAGACTATTGTTAATTACCTGGCATGCTTGTCACTGTTATGGGTCTGTCAGGAAGTCTACTGGTAACTTTCTTCAGGAAATTGTTTATTTTATTCCTTTTGATCTCAGTTTTCTTCACTTTTTTGGTTTCCATCACTGAAAAACAGAAAAACGTGATATGATCAAATGATAAAATAGTTGTGATGATCAACAACCCTTATCTTCTGCCAAAGTTTGATGTATAACAGTACCATAAAAATAAGGTTTAAAATATAAATTACCCATAATCAAAAATGCAGCATTTCTGTCACACAAGGATCTCTTTTTTGTTTATAGCAGTAGTTAATGGCATGTTACTTACTTTTCTAATTCTTCACGTCAAATCTCATGTCAAACCTTTCTGTATGATAATCTCTGCTTTTTTCATTTTTTATTTTGTTCATTTACAACTTGTTGTTGTCATAAGTATAATCAGACGAGTAAGCCCCTGAGTCTTGCCAATATGATTGGAGAAAACATATCCAAACTCAAGTGTCTATGGCTAAAGTGGATGATAGTCAAATAAAGCTGGATACTCTTTGACCCTCTGTACCTTCTGCCACTGTAGGTGTCTGTATTCTCACAGTCACCTGCTTGCTTCTCAACCTTCTGTTCTCGTAACGACAGATTGCTTGTAATTCAAGCACATAAGTGCGATTGGGCTGCAGGTTGCTTATTGTAAACTTGTGTATCGTTCCTTTTAATCTCTTATCTCTGACTTGCAAAGAAATGAATTCATCCAAATGGATGTCTGGTCTTAAGCTCCACTGCAGTCTGTATCGGTGAATGGGTAGAGCTGTGATGAAGACAAAAAAAAAAAGAGAACTATGTATACATTTTTCTCTATGTATACAGCATCTGTATAACAGAAATTTAAGTATTCTGACTACTTGATGGTAACGTGTAGGAATGTTGTATTTGTACATTTTATAACCCTCGTCTACTGAATACACACATTACCAGCCCAGAAAAGAGTCTTACCAATGGTGTTAAGTGGCTTCTTCCATGATACCTCAACCTGAACAAGGTCTTTGATAATGTACATGGACACCACATGAAAATTTCTTGGTGGCTGTGGCCTTAGTGGTTTTGCAAAGATCAATTTACTTGGGATACTGAAGGAACTTGAACCATACTGTGTCACTGCTAGCACTTTATACTGGTGCCAAAGTAGCGGCACTGGTTGAACTTCAACTGAAGTGTGGGAAGTCTAACATAACAAACAACAGAAACCAAATGAGAACAAATACTCCTGAAAAATAATTACTGGTAAGTTATTATTATATACACCTTTTATTTAATTTATTTTATTTAATTTTTTATTTAATTTTTTAATTTTTTATTTAATTTGTCATATAATATGAACAGCTATTTTGCAATTTGCATAATTTACTTTTCCATGCCTGCAGGTAATTTGAGTTTTTTCTTTCTACAGCATTAACTAATTATCATTATCCTTCACTGGACAACTGAGCTAGCCAACAAGTTCTCTACAGCTCAGTGGTAGAAGATCAGAGCAAAATAGGCAGGACAAAATCTTACAGTCTACATTTCAATTCCATGAGAACTCCTCTTTGTTCTATGTTCAACCTTTGTGAAAAAAGAACATCCCTCTTTATCAAATGGTATCATCATCATCAAAATTGTTCTATTTGTTACAATAACTGCCTGTTACTGGCATGGCATATTGCCCAGACTAGCTCATGTCACCATGATGAAGGTTTTGTATAAAATCATGCCAATAGAAATAATTTTAAACAACAACAAACATATGAAACATATGTATGAACTGCGGTTATGAGACGTATATGTGAACGATCCTTCGCAGTAAAGCACTATTTGAGCAATAGTGAAAATCAGACCTGAAAAAAATTTTCAGGCCTGTACGGGATTCGAACCACTGACCTCTGCGATACTAGTGCAGCGCTCTACCAATTGAGCTAACAAGCCAACTGGGAGCAGGCCATCAAATTAATTCGACATAAACCCGTAGATGATAAATCAAACAACAACAAACATATGAAACATATGTATGAACTGCGGTTATGAGACGTATATGTGAACGATCCTTCGCAGTAAAGCACTATTTGAGCAATAGTGAAAATCAGACCTGAAAAAAATTTNGTCAAATTTTTTTCAGGTCTGATTTTCACTATTGCTCAAATAGTGCTTTACTGCGAAGGATCGTTCACATATACGTCTCATAACCGCAGTTCATACATATGTTTCATATGTTTGTTGTTGTTTGATTTATCATCTACGGGTTTATGTCGAATTAATTTGATGGCCTGCTCCCAGTTGGCTTGTTAGCTCAATTGGTAGAGCGCTGCACTAGTATCGCAGAGGTCAGTGGTTCCAATCCCGTACAGGCCTGAAAATTTTTTTCAGGTCTGATTTTCACTATTGCTCAAATAGTGCTTTACTGCGAAGGATCGTTCACATATAAGAAATAATTTTGTCTATGTGAAATCGTGCTTTCAAGCAGCTTTATTGCTACTTTTCTGCCTTAGAACTCAATTGAAAAGTTGAAAGGCATTTTCAGAGGATTCAACAATTATCTCACAGGAAAAGTATTTAAAGGAGCAATTGTGCTGGTCATTACTGTACATGAGTTGTTACAAGTATTCATCATTTGGTAGATTTGAAACCTGCACCTCTTATTACCTGCATGGCCAACAACTGTTTACTGATAACTTATTAGATTACCCAAAAGTAATTGGCCAGAAATTAATGTACTTTTAATACATGCTTTCATTTTCATTCTCATCAGTGACAGTACAATCTATAACAACAACCAATCATCAATTTTCTCAAATAAACTGAACACCTGTATCAATTCTTCCCAGTCGTGTGAAACATCCTTGTCCAATTGTTTTCCTTTTGTCTGCTTTCTTGTTGAGACAATAAAAACTGTTGCAGTTGGCCAAGAGCCATTCCACTTGATAGAAAAGTTCTGAGAATGGTCATTAGAAGAGACCTCCACCTCCACATTTTCAGGTTGCATCAACACACCTGTAGTTACAACAAACATCAGATTTACAGTAAAATCAATGTCATTTACTGGAAAAATTCACTGCATAGTTTTGTTTACATGAAGTCTTTGTCAATGTCATTTCCTAACATAATTGTTATTTCTGTGTATCTCTGTCAGTGCTTTTGGAGTCCATTCTTCTTTAAGTATTTTCTTTTCAGTGTATAGCTTGAGAGAGAAACAGAGCTACCAGTAATCTAATAAAGATACCTATCACACTTTATGGGAATATAGTAGGTTTTGAGCTATGGATGGTAAGCAAGTGAAGATATGATAAGAGTTAGTTAAGGTAGTGGAGAACCTGCTAAAATTTCCCTGTGAGGAGGGTTCATTGGGCAGGCAAAATCTCATCTGTGATAACTGTCATTTATCATATGACCAATCTGGCCCTGCTTGCAAAATCCCATAGAAAACCACAGTAAAAGCTGACCTGTGTATGCCAAACAGGTTGATGTGAACTGGTCTGGTAAAAGCTGTCTAGCCTTAGTGTATTTGTAGCGCTATTGCACAAAAAAACTGTTCATGTTGTAGAATCTTTGTGGTGGTTTCCCGTATACCCCAGTCTATCACATCACATCCCAAAGTTTGCGAGTCAGTGGTCATTTGTCCAGCCCTTCCACTCAGTAAATAAGTACTACTCAGTTGCACACTAAACACAAAGTAAACCAAACTGTCAAAACCTACATTGACTTTTTGTTGATGCTATTGGACAGGAAGAGTTATCACCTGATGGATAAAAATGCTGATTATTTATAATCATTCACCATTACAATTACCTACTGATTTAATGAAAAATCATAATTGGCAATTTGATGAGAGACTGCTGACCTTAAGATTTTTACTGTCAAACACTTAACCTTAACATAATCACTGATGTAATCATAACACTTTAGATTTGCTATGTTAAATCTGATTATAACATAACCAAAGTAAAGCGCGCGCTCTGATTGGTCAATTTAGCGTCCACCATTTGCCCATGAGTGTACGCTGCTGACGTGAGCAAATGCAAAGACTATTTTTCCCTGCGCGCTTCTTTTTTCTGGTCACGCAAGATTTGTTAAATAAAAGGGAACTCTTTAGCTACAATGTATCAATGTTAAGTTATAAAACAAATGGTAAACACCACAGCGTACACTATTGAGTTATGGATGCACTTGGGAGGTTTGCTAAGCACTCAAGAAGCTAGAGTCGCTCTCGGCTATCGCCTCAAGCAACTCTTACGCTTCTTTCGTGCTTAGCAACCTCCCATGTGCATCCATAACTCAATAGTGTACGCTGTGGTGTTTACCATTTGTTTATTGGTCAAGAGAATTCAATCTATAAACAATAGCATATGAAGTTGACATGATAAATACATCTCTGCAGCATATATTGCATATATTGTGTCAAGTTCAAAGTCTGCCTAGTTTCTGAGCCCCTCATCCCTGCAGTGTTCTCAAACTTTTGCATACTCAGAGAGGTGTCTTTTTTTGCTGATCGTTTATAAAATGTCAAGCTCAACTTCATCCCATAATTACTTAATACTGAAAACAGTGATTGGTTGTGAAATCAAGCTTTATTATCATGCCTTAGTGAAACTTGTCTCATATAGGGTTAAGTCCATAAAAAAACTTCTTTTCAAAGACCCATTCAAAAGGTTAATGAGCATGACAGCTAGTACCATAATTTCCAGCTGTTTACCCGCGGGTAATCTGTTGATTTTGCCTTAAACACATGCCACTGCAGGTAATAGGGAGGTGCAAGTTATGTGAATTTTGAAATCTACTGGCAGTTGAATTGAAAAAAATTCTCACCTACCTGTGTTTCCACCTCTCAGATGAATTTTATTGTATTAATAGGAGTGCCAAAAAGCGGTATGAAAAGATGACACTGACTCAAGTTTATTTCACGCACAATTAGTTGCATGACGAACAAATTTTTATCGGCATGCATGTAAACAAAATCTTGATGGTGACAAAAATAAACCAAGGATAACTGGCGCATCAGTAACAAATTTCCAGTTAACACTAGCTTGAGCTGAAGAGAATTCTCCCATTATAAGGGACTTGTTAGGCCCAGTAGAACCAGAGAGATAGATTTTTTTGAGAAATCAACAAATCAACGCGGCACTGAACGATCATTCGCACAAAATGTGGCCACAAATTCACTTTCTGTCAAGTATGAAACTTTGTGCATTATAGAGCATTTTTATACAAATTTCCTTCGCTTTCAAGGTGTGGTTTATCCTCCAGTGTGGGTAATCTGTTGACTTTTTTTTTCACTGTGTGCAATAATTGGCCGGTGTGGGTAAACAGCTGGAAATTATGGTACCCTTTGCTGAAGATGTTGTCCCAATTGCCTGGTGTCAACACAGAGATAAAAGCATCTACACTTTACATATAAGTGTTTTGAACTTGTTCAAATTGTTTCCTGTGTTGAAACTTACCCTCAGTATGCATCCACTTTAAAAATCTACAGGACTCCCTGCATGCATTTCCATTTTTCACTGGTACAACAGGTGGCCCCTGAAACACCAATGTCACAACAAAGATCAGATATTAAAATGAATAATACAAAAATACATAGTCAAAGCATATGCAAAATAGCAACAGATTACCCATATTTCCTTTGTTATTACTCACCAAATTGTGATAATATGAAATAAAAAAACACCAATTAATCATCCATTAAGTAATTTATATACTATTACATCAGTCAGATTGTTTTGGAGAATCATTCTTCAGCAAAAGATTTTCTCAGGACTAAACCTTTCCAGGACAGTCACTTCAAGCCATTACAATACTTTTAGATGTTGTGAATGGATTCAATATACATCTTTAATGCATCACTCGCAGCACCCATGGGCAAGATGAAGTGATCCTGTGTTGTGATTGGCTACCCGAGCGGGAAAGATGGGCCCATCTTGCCTGCTCTGGATTGCCTGCATTGATACCGCACATTAAAAAAAATTAGAACATAGCTAGCAGAGTCACGCAATCAAATTCATTATACATAAGCGTGCTCAAAATCCCGATAGTGCACGCTGATAGCGTCAGCAAATCCGACTTCGCCAGAAATTTTTTTTTCGCGCGAGCGGCCATTGCTAGTGCGGGGAAAAATAATACATTTCGCGACAATAATGGATACAAATAGAAACTCGGCCTGCTATTCCGAAAACGAAGACAATGTTTCGACCTTTTCCCATGGGCTAAAGTTCATATATGAGGTAGAAAAAGAGAAAAACAAAGGAAAAGGAGACTCGGCATCAGCGCCGTCACGATTCGCTTCAACTGATATTGTTGTCCGTTTTTTGCGTCGCATTTGATGCACAATTCCACCGGCTATGTTCTAAAACAATTGGTTCATGCTTTCAGCTGTGCACTATCGAGTTATGGAGCACGTGGGAAGTTTGGAGATCACTCAAGAAGCTAGAGTTGCCCTCGGCTATCGCCTCAGGCAACTCTTACGCTTCTTTCGTGCTCTCCAAACTTCCCGTGTGCTCCATAACTCCATAGTGCATGCTAAAGCATGAACCAATTGTTAAACAGAATTAGAACAACTAATTCTCATAATTGTTGGACAGTTTCAGTGATGGAAACGCAAAAAGTGGCAGAGGATAGTCAAAACACAGCCTGCATAGCGGCCCTCTGGAGTCTGGCACGAGAAGGGAAAATGAGGGCCTGTGGACAAGGCCGTTGTTGTTGACTATCCCCGTTCAAACAGTGTACGTAGAATTTCATTGGACGATATGCTCGGAGGTTTCTTTAGAAGATATAAAGCAAGGATTGTATCAGATCGTCTATTCTTTACCAGAGTGTGCTCTAGAGAAGGAGTTCCTAGAAGTTTTGAAAGAAGGCCAGTTTCACGACAACATGGCGGCAGTTGTGATCGATGAATCACACACTATTGAAGCATGGACTGGTCGAGGTGAGTTGTTTATTCGCAAAATTTTCCTTCTATACAAGATATATCTTTTTGAATGAAATCCTACCATGGAATTATTTGCTTTTGAGAGAGGCTTATATTTGCATACATACTTTTAAAGTAAACAAAATATCTTGTCCATTGATCGCTGCCTTTTATCACACTGTCCTACCAATAGTGGAAGGAATTTTGTAAATGAATGTGTTTAATGCTTGCAATTTTTAGGAAATTTGGTGCAAACGATGTGCATTTTACTTCAAATAATCGCTGATTGGTTCAATTTGTGAGGCGTGTTTTTGAAATTTAGTTGGGGGCGGATAGTCAACAACAACGGCCTTGACCGCAGGCCCTCATTTTCCCTTCTCATGGCAGGCTCCAGAGGGCCGCTACGCAGGCTAGTCAAAACAAAGAAAACAGAAACAATTCCCGTGAGTTTGTTGTGCTACAAACACAGTTGGCTTTCTTTCCAGGCTCTTAAAGAAAATAAGCCATTCCTAATTCTTATTAAGGCAAAATCTTTTTGCGATATAATAAATCCTTTATTAACCAAGCGTGAGGTCAAGTTGGCTGGACATTAGCCTTGTCCTTTTTTGCATTTAACACATGTCTAACACATTGTGCCCTTATCAAAAACAATATGCACTAAAACATTTACCAGATGAGGGTAATTTTTACCCGAATTGACCAATCAGAGTGCTTAGTTTCTTTCAGTTTACCGCCGGGTAAAGTTTACCCTAATGGGGTAAACTTACCATTGGCAATTCCCTCGTTAGAGCCCTTCTATGGCCTGTATTGACACAAAATAATTACATTCTTCCAATTGTACCTTCTTAGAATCGAATTTCGCGATTTGGAGTTCAAAAAGGTGCAAAACCGATCAGCTTATATCTAGGATAGCGCGCTTTTGGATTTGTCGGGATTCGAAAATTGACACAGCTATGTTTGCAAAGTCATGTTTGTTTTACCTTTACGATAAAATATTGTTGACATGAAGGTGTTTTATTGACAAGTTTTAAGTGACAAGGGGTGCTTTCCATTCAACAAAAATCACGGGTTCAACATGTCGGTATTTTCGCTGGCCGAATGGAATGTGTCCGACTGTATCCAAGAGCGTGCCTATTTGGTGCGGACAAGTTGTTGCGGAGTTGTTCCAGACCACCGATGGGAACGCAAAAGCGTCCTGCTGGGTCTCAGGAGACTCTCGGCAGAAACACATCTTGCCAGTGACAATGCTTTATTCTATTTTCTGGCCGACAGTTTTCATTTTCTTTAAAGAAGCTTGAGCACGCCGTGGCAGAACTCATTAATATGGTTGCTGGTCAGGTGCCGGCACATGATGACTTCTTACAACACTAACTCTAGTCCTTCTCGATGATAATTTTTTCTTGCCATTCTTCTTCAAATTTCTTTTATTTCTCTTGCTTACAGCTTGTTGATTCATACTTCAATCACGAACCTACCTCGCTCTAAAAGCATATTACTTTAGTGGCCCGTTTGGCTCAGCAACATTAACAAAGGAGCAAACGAGTAAAAACGGAGCTGGCTCGTTTGGTGAATGATTCTAAATTAGCCACTTGGAGCTAACCAGCGTGTATGCTTTATAAAGGAGTTACTTCAACCCCGAGGCGTGCATTTCTGTTTTACCACGTAATTTGAAATAGCAAATTCTCACAGCTTCTCTACTTGCTGGTGAAAAAGCTTAACCTCGACTTTCTCAACTTTTTAATGTTATACGTGGTTACACATACCAATGAAAAAACAGTTTCTATTAGTACATGTCAACTTGAGCGATGTGGTAACAGTATAATGGAACGTAGGTGACCACAATTTGAAAAGGAAATTAGCAAATTCCTCAGTGTGAGATGAGGCTTGTGTGCGACATTCTTAATAGGAAAACAGTCGGTGTAAAACTGGGACAGCTACGTTCTGAAATTATGTTCCCTACTGTGAAATTATTCGAAAAAGATTAAATTGTCTTAATGCCTTCCGCATTACACAAAATTTTGTAGTGGAATTTCTGAGGAATGGTGGCTGGTCTGCGTAGCTGTAAATTTGGACAACTTGTTTATTACAACATTTTTCCGTCAATAGTGGATATTAAATTAAAAAATCGCGCTTTGTTAGGTACGTGACAAAATGTTGATTGTATGATCAATGCATTTTTAACCATTGCATATACACTGGTTGTCTCTCTCTCACCCTCCCCCAAACTACTCGTTGGGAAAAAATGTTTGAGTATATTCTCCATTACTCCGATTGTTCAAGTCTATCACAAGAGGACCTTGCACCATTAATGACGAAACTCTTCAAGAATATAGGACAGTTGTTACTTATTTAATGTGATAATCAAGAGGTCTTTGTGTCATGGAAGTGTAAAGCCCTCAGAGAAAATATTTCTCAGAGATTGAGAAAATAATGTAATTAATCACAGGGCTTTTGCTCACACGTCTAAAGGCCAGCAGAAGTGTATTTCCTGGAAAACAGAACGTTCTTTGGTAATACTGACATCAATTTTATTTCACTATAAAAAAGGGAAAATAAATCAAGGTAGGAGGTAAGAACATGAGGTAAATCAAACCTCATGCACTGGGGCCTTCCCTCACAATGATATAGTGTGTGCACCATGAGGGCTGGCAATGACTTTAGCAGGTGCCACACCAAGCCGGTCCCTTCTCAACATGGTGACCATAACGAACGTGTCTCCGTAATCTCCTGAACTTTGCAAAAGATCGCGGGCAAAGCAGGCACTGCTATTGACATACTCGTTGTAGTGTATAGGATGCCAACGAGCATGAAGTATGCGCGATGTAATGCGAGGCGTGATGGTGTGATGTAATACCCTCGAGACCTGCATATATACAGCATGTGTTTAATTATTTAGTTAGTTCTCTTAGGTACGTGAATAAAACCGATTTCATTTTAACCGCTGTGTACTACACTCGTTCCACTTTAGACTTAATGAAACATGAACTCAACACGATTTCTTAAATATGGATTTCATAAAGAGCACTGCTTCTAGCACTTATGTGCTAAGTTGACGTAACTTCATTCTCATCCATTCCCACGGTTTTTAATCACCCTAATAAGCGTCAATTAAACTATCCTATATCCTATACTCCAAAGCTAAAACAATTAGCCTTTTCTAGGCAAAAACTACGTACAGGTGCCGCATAAGCAAAGAGATGACCTTCGCTAGTGGAATAAAGAGTCTCTTTTCGTAATTAGCCAATTGTAAAAATTTGTAAATAAAAGGGTTTTAGTCAGTACTGCTACCAAACCATTGATGATTTCAAGTGTATCTCTACTTTAAACTTTACCCATGTGAAAAACATACATTTAATGGGGTGAATAACATTATACTTTGCTCGGACGAAGGATTTTGGCTCAGTGTAGTCTTAATGCTTGACAATTAGGATTTCATGAAAAAATAATACACTTAACGCCCATCATTTGGATCGAGTAACATGTAATTTACCATGTATTGCAGTGTAGAAATCCAAGCTGAAGGACCTGAAACACAGCTATTTCTTTACCCAAAACCGAATTGTTTCTGACGAAAGAAGGAATAACTTTAACGCGGATGTTTTCTTTGCTGCGTGACGAGACAGCAAGATGTTTACAGATTACATGTGTCACATTTTCTGCGAGTGAAATGCTGCACACCTTACATTACAGTTCAAATTTTTGATTGTTCTATCGATTTTGTAAAGAAAAGGAATTTTGGAAAGGACATTTTTGTGGAGGCTCGATGATCCATCGTGATCTTCCAAGTTACACTGCTAAATTCGCTGGATAGAATGCTTTAATTAGATTACACGCCTGATACTTTGATACGTGAGCGTAGATTACTTAGTTCAATAAGTACGCTCTCCAATTCACAAGAAACACTCTTCTGAAAATCTGGAAATTAAGATTTTCAAAAAATAGTTTCCATCACAAATACATCGAAGAGTTTTGTGACCACATCAGAAGTAAAATGTGACAGCACTCTCTGCAATATTGGAGTAGTTTCTCTGGAAGGAAGAAATGGCTAAACGCACATGGTTTCTTTGGTGCGTGACGTGGCACCAAGATGTTTACAGATTACATGTGTCCATGTATGTGTCATGTTTTTTGCGAGTGAAACGCTGTGCATCTTATATAACAATTCAAAATGCTGATTGTTTTATCGATTTTCTTTAAGAACGGAAAGAAAAGGAGGACATTGTCAAGGCATCCCGATGATCGATCGCAAGCGTATAAGTTCGATGCTAACTAGGTCGCTAACTTCAAGAAGATGCGTGCTAGGATTGCTGCAGGATTATATTACACCCCTGATTTGCTATTTTATAAACTTGTCACCTAAAACCTGTCAATAAAACACCTTCATGTCAACAATATTTTATCATAAAGGTAAAACAAACATGACTTTGCAGACATAGCTGTGTCGATTTTTTAATTCCGGCAAATCCAAAAGCGCGTCATCCTAGATATAAGCTGATCGGTTTTACACCTTTTTCAACTCCAAATCGCGAAATTCAATTCTAAGAGGGCACAATTAAAAGAACGTAATTATTTTGCATCGATACAGCCCATAGAAGGGCTCTAACAAGCGAATTGCTAATGGTAAGTTTACCCCACTAGGGTAAACTTTACCCGGCGCTAAACTGAAAGAAACAAAGCACTCTGATACGTCAATTTGGGTAAAAATTACCCTCATCTGGTAAATGTTTTTAGTACATATTGTTTTTATAGGGGCCCAATGTTTTAGACATGAACTTGGCCAATATCCAGCCATCTTGACCTCACGCTTGGTGAATAACCCAAATATATCATAATTCACCATCCATTCAGTATTGTTGGCATCAACAAACACATGAGCAAGTAAAAGAGTTTGATTACTTACACAAATGGATACACATGATAGCTTTTCTTTTTTTCTTCTTTGTTCACATGGTTTCATACACTAACAAAAAAGATTGACAAAATTAGTTGATCAATTTTAACTGTTAGTTACAGTTAGTTAACTGTCAGTAACTGTTAGTTAACTGTATGTTCACCTGTAAGGTGTACAGTCTTTTAAAGTAAGATTTCTGAGTTCAGTTTGTCATTTGAGAGCTGCTTTGCACAGTTAATTAACTAAATTTTGCATTGAAAAATTACAGTATGCTCTTGTGCTATGAGCATATTCATTTCAAACAATACACAAGAGTTGAAATTTTGTCTAAATTTGTATTTAAATGTTCCTTTTATTGTCTAGATAATGTTTACTTAGATAAATAAAATAATTAGTTTGAATGATGCTCTGGCAAAAATGTCTTTGTCCTGATTGGCTAAGAGAAATTAAGTTATAGTTCAGTCTAAAATAAGGTTCAGTTGAGCTTTGAACTTTCTCTTAAAAAAGTGTTTAAAGGAGCATTACAAAAATTAATGTTTTGATTGAAGGTCGTTGTTTTGATGGAATACAGCATGAAAATTGAAGGTACTTCAACAAGTTATTTCTTCATGCACTCTGACATCAACTTCTACTGAATTGACAAGCTGTCTATTTTTTTTTTCATGCATGGTATCAATAAGAAATCACAGATTTTTCTCACACAATTTTTGGGCATTTTAAAAAAATTAATAACTTGTAGTTATTTCTCCAAATTGCACTCCAAATCATATGATTACCTATTGTAAAATGATAAAGCAGATGTAAATTAACTTACTGCTGAACAGTCCTCTGTTACACATTCAGAAATCCATGTGATCTGGATACAGGCAAAAGAAGTTCTGCATTAAAAAACATGCGATATCCTGATAGACACAAGGATAGGGCATGCAAAGGATGGGGGYGTATTTCTCTCAAAGTAGCAGCAGCATAGACTGCATACACACTACATCCACAGTACAATATACTAAATACTCTGATAATTGAACAGATGCCATACTTTTTAAAACTATGCATACCCATACTTAAGTAACAGGTTTCAACATTGTTTGGACGTCTAAGGAATAGCCAATCTGACTGATATTTATGCAACGTCAAAAATAATTATTACATCATATTCTAAAAATACTTCTGAAGTTGGTAATCTAAAAGTCATTCACAGTTCTTCTAGACATATCTTAAAATAACATTTGAGAATGTTGCCTAGTAAGAGAAATAAAGCGGTTGGGTGCCGTATAACTGTAAAAAGAAGCATTTGGGTGATATGTTTCTATGATTTTGGCCGGTTAGGGTGATAACTAACAGATATCGAGCCACAGGAAACGAAACTGCAAGCAGACAATTGATAACTACTTATCCGTTGACAAACTATAATAGCAAGACTGGTATGACTGTATCCTTGAATCCCCACCCGCGCGAAAAAAGGTGAATGAAACTTGAAAAAATTCCGAGATATCACTTAGCTTTTCTTTGTCGCTCAATCGCATTATAATATCACGCCTACTCGATAATTCGCTAAAATTCGATGGTCTGAGAAAGCAATGTTAAGAAGAAGAATTCTGTCGAAGTTGCATTCCTATGCCATACGTTTTTTTCTCGTGCTCTCCAATCGAAATTAAGAATAGATATCAAGATCAGAGAGGGCTAAATCGACGCGGCCGTCGTTTGAATTATCTTCCAAAACTATTTCATTTCTCATTAAAATGATAAAACAATACGATAAACATTTACTGCAGTGACTAAATTTTGCTACTTTATTGTATTCCTTATCACATTTGTATTATACAACACTTAAACTTAACAAAATGTAGAGAATATGAAGGGATTCCAGTTTCACTTTTGAAGGAAATTTTTAAGCAGAAGAAAAAAAGAAAATTAAAAGCCAAAAGAGAGTAGAAGAGTAATCAACATTTGCATGATAATGGACTTACGATGAACTTTGGTTTTTCGATCGAATGTCGTCCATATGCACGAGAAATATTAATCATCTAATATTCAAAATCTATTATTACCTCCTAAAGATTCACATTAAGCAGTGAGAACAGGCGAGAACGACTTAAATCTTCAGCATCGTTAAAGTGAATGCAAGCGCTTAACTTTGAATGCAAATTTTGGTGTTGGTGCATGTACAAACAAACACTGCTGTTCATATCCTGCATAAGTTCAAACGCTTTAGACGCTGCGAAATATACTCATTCGGCGCTGATAGCTTGTTTCATTTTATGGTGTTCCTGAATTTTTCCTTGCGAAGTTAATCCCATCGTCGAAAAAATATGTTTTTGTATTTATTTTGAAACAAATTTGCTTACATCTGCACACGTTCCAACACTTGTCAACAGCTCTCTAGTAAAAATTTGCAACTTTGCGCAAACCTATACATACATGGTTTTCTGTTACATGTTCTTCCCCAACTACATCTCAGAACACTTACAGAGACAATCCCTTAAATTAGTACATGAAAAAATAAATAAGCCGCAAGTAGAACAAGTGCACTTACATTAAGATGTGTTTCGACCTCCTGCTGAATGCATTTCCACACAGTTTCCGATGACGCGCGAAAGACCATGGAAAAAAACAAAACAAGCATAAGAAATAAGGCTCTTCCTGATATTAAAGAAAGTTCAAAACAAAACTTTGTCACCTGCAAAAGTAATGACCTAAGTACTCTCGTTACAAGATCGCAACCTGTCAAAGATTTCACCGACAGGTTCACAACACACTTGCGCAAATTCGCGGTCGCTGAGTACAAACCTTTGCAAGGCAGCGACTTCTGCATCGCGCCGACAGCACGGCAGCCAAACTTTTTTTTTGTTGTAAACATACAATGAATCCAATGACTATAGTGACGTAGTAATTCATAGAAGTTAGAGTAAAAGTAAACTCAAAAGAAGAAATAAGGTGCTGAAAATTCCAGTTTGAAAGAATGAGAACGATTACCAGTAGATTTGCATAACAAAAGCCAAGACTACTGAGAGATAAACACGTGCTACTAAAGCAAGTCAAAATCAAAGGGTGTAACTGAACGGTTCACTTAACGAGAATTTAAAACTCAATCAAGCTGGATATTCTTCAAGATTCAAATTATTGAGATTCCTGACCGACTTATTTGTGAACCATAAAGTACAAGGTGCGTAATTTTTTTTATTCCGGGGAAAGAAATTACTAAAGAAGAGATTTTGGGGGTAATACTTGACATACTTAGCATCGTTGCGCTCTTATCTAGACGAAGTAAGACGTAAAACGGCGATCATTTCGCAGTCCTGTACACAAATCCAATTTGAATTTACACGTTTTGATGACCAAACCAGTGTCCATTTAGAATTTGTGACTAATTAAAAATTTTATCCATGCGGGACATTTGAAGTGTAACAAGTTGCTCTCCGTTTTAAAGAGTTATCTTTGGGAGTGGATCACATTTCAAAGTCTCTCAACTTCGGCGAAACGATTTTGTCAAACAAACATTGCTTTGTCCAGTTTCATACTCAGCAATATGTAAATAAATGCTAGTTTTCGGGAGAATGTGCTTTTGTCCTTGAATTTTATCACACCGTGCAAGAAAACAACACAATATTCCACGGACACGTTCCAGCGAGGTCTTCAACTGGGCAAGATTACTCATAAGGTCGGTCAACACAAAACCTGACAAGTGTTGTTTCGTTTCTTTGCGCTAAGTGTAGCACATTATCTATTCCTATTTCTTCGACAATTCTCTTCATAACAAGATGTTCGAATAAATAAACCCCAAAACAAGTTCACGTTGATGATTTCTTATGAAACCTGGTCACAACAGGACGCAGGAAGGACCGGCGTGCGGTCTGATATCCAGCTTCATCGGTGTTGTCATATTAGAAAATGGGGCTCTATCAGGCTCATAGACGTGCCCCACTTTCCGCTTGACTGACAAAGCAAAATGTGGATTTTAGATAAAAAGCTGACTTTGCCCCGCAGATATTGCAAAGGAACATCAGCTGTTTGTTTCACCAAATTTCTTTTCTCCCGTTTTTTAATTTCTTCTTTCACAAAAAAAGAAAAATGGGGGATCTCAGAGCAAAAGAAGCAAAAGTTATTTAATAATCCGAGCTCTGTTAACAAATGTTTTGCCTTGAGAAAAAAAAAATTACCACTCGTAATTTCTTGGAGAACCCTAATTTACCGAGTCGATCGAAAATGTCACGTGATCTATAAATCCAGCTAGTGGAGGCTACGTGATCGTAACTGTGATAAGAGTCGAATAAGTATGCATCGGAGTCGCAAAATCGAATTTTAGGTGTTACGCAGGCCGTCGACACATGCTCTGTCCAGGCTAACTTATAAAACTTAACTATTGCCTTTTATTCACCTTTTCTCAACTGATAGAAGTTCATTCACAAAAGAAGCCATGATACCTTTCTCTTCCGTGTTGTCTAGGTACCGTTAAATTGAAAATATGATCACTTTGGTAGTCATGGATAAATAGTGCTAGTAAACAAACAAAAACTAATATAGGAGGCAAACCATAGTAACGGGATTCCTCAGAGTTAAGACTGGCTGTCAGTGAAGCTAAGCGAGGGAGGGGCTCAGAACTTACTACATTCTACATTATTCTATGAGCAATATTCTCTCCGGAAATGATACTCGCCTGATGCCGAACTTTTAGTAAGGACCACGTACGCTTTATTTTAAATTAACTAGAAGACTGAAAAGACGACAATCAATCTGTCAACAGAATTTCTAACCAAATTCAATTAGAGTCGCGGAGAGCTGAAATAAGCATCGATCTCTTTTTCACTGAGCTGACCAGCTGTCTCTCAATCACAACTAACGCTGCCATCTTTCCCTTTCTCAAACATATGCATCGCTCCTCTCGAAACTAGTAGCCCCCTTTGCTATTTATGTCCATTAATTCATTTATCTATTTGTTTTAATTTACTCATAGAAACTTAATGAGTTGTTTGGTTTAAGTGTTCCTTATAATTTAAATTCTCTTTCCCAAATCGAGATGGAGTTATTAACTAACAAAACGATATTGCAAGGCATTCTAGTCCACAGTGACAGCCAGTGAAAGTAAGTGTTGTTCACCGTTTAGATGATTGTTTTTCAATTTGGGTGCAATTCATCAGAAGCGCATACAAGTTTCTGGAAGGCTTAATAGAATGGAGCGATGAGAGAGAACAGAAAAACTAATTCTTCACTGAAGTATAACATGTTCGAATATATTTGCTCTGAGGATGTTACTTTAATATTCGACTGTCGTTCGTATTTTGGGAATAGAAGGGAGAATCTCTCGTCAGGAATTTGCGGTGTTAAATGCAAACGGGTAACAAAAAAATCGTCCCTTGACAAAGATTTTCAAATACAGATTGAATGGTGAAAATCGAGTACACTTGTACAACCAAGTCATGCAAAAACACCCAGGGTGAGACAAGCTAACTCTACATTGTAATTTGGATATATCAACAAAGTTGAAATGGTAAATTGGCCACCGTGGCCAATTTAAAAGCTGACGTTTCGAGCGTTAGCCCTTCGTCAGCTTTTGTAATCGTTACGGTGGCCAATTTACCATTTCAACTTTGTTGATATATCCAAATTCTTTCGTTACTCCCACCGACGCAGCCCCAAACAGTTTCTTTCGAAACTATCAGCCTTAACTCTACATTGGAAAGGAGATTGATAACATGTACAGAAAACAAACTCCAGTACAACCTCGAAAAAATTCCTGTCTGAATTTTATTACAAAGCAAAGTGTTAAATAGCGTTTTTACAACACCGTTTAATTGTTCATCTCTCGCTGAACAGAAATAGCCAACGACACGGCGTCGACTGATGAAACAGTCACGTGACAGAATGTAAACATGTGTATCGGCTCTTAAATCGATAACTTTGCACTTTCAAGAAAGACTTATGTAGCATTTTCAATTAAAGTGCTGTAGTTCTAGCAAATTAACTTATATCTTACAAAGTTAATAAAATAGGCTGTGGCCCACATCACACTACAAACACGTTTATGATGTGCAAAAACGTCACAAGCATAAAAACATAAATCTTGGGAACCCTTATAGTTTTGCTACAGATTTTTACCCCAGCATTGAGCTTGACTACGTCTTCCTGAAAAATGGGCTTCTCGGTGTTAGCACCAGTACGAATGCACTTCATTGGTTTTACAACGCAAAAGTGACCCCTGACACTAAGCTTTACTCTGGCTGGGAATTGACTTCCAAATGAGCGCGCACCAGTTATTAAGTTGAACTAATTTCGATTCTTGATTGACGAGCTAGCATTCACTCTGAAAACCCCCTACATGTAAGTCTCTCGTTGTGCGGTGTACTCAAGCTCAGGAGTTCTGTGCGTCTTGATGTTCTTCGGCTTAATTTTGAAAGGCTTGTCAGCTTTTGAAGACCGGGTTATTGAGTCTTGTCTGTAGACAAAGTTTCCTTTACTTGTTGGCAACGGTTGACGAAGAAGTTTAGTGTTCTGTGGAAGAAGCGGAAACTCGTTAACTTATGTTTGTTAAGCGCACTACAACTGATCAAACTGAAGTCAACCAGCAGGCGGAAGGACAAAAATGCTTAGCATGAGGTGCGCGGTAAAATATGAAGAGTGTTTTTTTTATTGGTTACCGGCGGGGGTAATAACCCACGCGGGATGTTAGGATACCACGAGAAAAGTTTGTAAATCACGAGCCGGAAACCCAGAGAAGCACGATCTATTGCCTTCATAACACAACTACGGGTTTGTTATATACGATGGGCTTTGACCAATCAGGGCAATTGTGTTATCTCAGTTATTTTATAGTATGTGATGAAGGCAACCCCATACCCAAATATTCTATTTTCGTGAAAAGGTATTGCGGTTTCAGTTGGCCAAGCACTCGGTGTACCCGACACACGTGTTTCATTTGCATGTATAAAAGGTAGCAGTTTACCCCCGGTGTACTTTACAAAAGCTTTAACACTGTTCGCCAAAATGACATGATAAAGTTTCCATCAAACTGACAGACAAACTTTGGTATATAGCACCACATGCTCCACTGCTGTTAACCTCTCGACAACCTTTCCTTGACAGCAGAAATCTCACCGAGTGTTAAAAATTCGTTATAGGTCGAAAACAATTTTTTTACTCACGCGCATCTCGTTTCCATTGCTTGAGAAAATTTACTGGTTTCTTTGGCGTTACCGTCAGACTGAACAAACCACATAGCGTCTGATTAAGGATGAGGTGACGTGTATTATTATACCTTAGAATCCCTCCATTCTGCTTCTAGTGATTCCCTCTTGTCATTCTTCCTGTCCTACAATACGAGTTTGGAAATAAAATAGGACAAGTGAAAAAAAAGACATAAAGCTAAAAACAGGATGTTCAACAACATGAGTATCACCTAAGTCAGAAAAAAAAAAAAGGAAAAACAACCACTTTAGTGAACTTGAATCAGTCCTTTGCCTTTACGTATCCCTACAGAGCACGCTGAGCAGAAAGTAATTGCTAGGCGAGGATCAGTACACTCGACGAGTCTTACACAAATTAGAAAGAAATGTCAATTAGTATACTGAGACAGTAGATAGCGTTGAAGGCATGCTCTGATTGGTTACTCAAACTCCAAACATCCCCTACTATTCACCTCCGAGCAACTTGTGAAGGACTAGCGTCCGAAATATTGTAATCTTTTTATGCTATATTACCTCACTCTATTAGTATATACTAAAATAACTATTCACCACCAGCCACCTCCATTTCGGTGAAGAGCTGTTAATTAATCACTGCTCAGAAGCCAGCTTTTGCTGTTATTATTAAATGATTTCAAACTCTGATATTATGATCCTCTTACATGTAGCAGATTACAGTCTGATTTTCCCACTCCTTACAAAAGCGTTTGTAAATTCAAATATAGTTAATGGCATTTCTCCTAACAAGTTAAGCAAACGGGCGGTTTAACTAGCATTTCTCTCTTTCGATGGGTGAGAAAATAAAGCAAACCCGAGTAATAAAAGACCGACACATTTGGCTGTCTAGAGAGTGGAACTAATTTACTTACAATCCGATTCACATAACAACTGGCAGGAACCCAAATCAGCAATGACAACACCACAACTGTCCCAGCCAGATTGTCTTTCATGAACTGAGCGACTGTATTGCTGTCCAGGGTGGTTATAAATGTCCAAAATCTCTCTACAAAATCTTGGATTTTTTTCTCACAGTTACCCTGATGAAAAACAAACAAACAGAATTGAGCGAATGTCACAGCTCAGTATCACGCGAAGAGCAGATACCTTTTAGGAAAGGGGTACCCAACTGTGCTTTAAGACTAATATTTCTCAACAATTTCTCAACATTATCTGAATCACAATCGAGTGTCAAAGAGAAATATCATTAAACAAAAACTCTCTAAAAAGACCGTTCGCCAAAGCAGGCGAGAACCACAAACAAAACTGAGAACTGAATGTAAAGTTTTCAAGATGGAGAAATCGTGAAGCACATTCGCAATATTATTTTCTTCAAAAACAGGCATTGAAATTATTTACAAAGATGCTTCCGTACATTGACACATATGCCCTGCACACCCTCCTTCTGACATGATCTCCCATTCTGGATCTCCGTCGTTTCACCAGTAACGTTGTTTTTGTAAGGTACACAAATTCCATTGCTTCCCTGACAGCAAACTTTACAGGAATCATCCACACCGGAGCATTTACATGGCTTCAGATCTCGGGCTTCACAGAAAGGTCTACACACTCCATTTCGGCATGTTCCTCTGAAAATATTAAACGGTCCACGGTTTTACGTAATCAGTGGGCCTCACGCTTTCTCAATAAAAGTGTTGATTTCATAAAATGAATGATCTTCCACTGTTCGCTTTCGACCCCCTTGACGCTGTTCTCTTAAATAAATGTTCAGATAGAAAGGTTCAGCTAAATTGGGGATTGTTTAGGACGCGGTTTTGGTAAGCAACGACTAACTTTGTTTACGTAACCAGTCCATTGTGTTCGACTTACATAAACTGATCCCTTTTTCAGTACTACATCGGCCTACATTCACGTTGCAGATATCTCACTCTGGAGATGGTGAGTGCTTAAGTTTGGAAAATAAATATCTTGATGTATTTCTTTTTTCAATGATATCTGCAAAAATTATGGATCACTGATAATCACATTGATCCAAAATTATGTACAGAAATGCAAGAGGATATTTGGCTAAAAGAGTTGTCTTCGACTTTCCAAAGTTGCTAAAATTATGAACAGGTTGATAAAATTATTTTGGCTGCCACGAGTTATCAGTGGATCAGCACTCTGTAAAATTTTGAAACCGTCAAACAGAAATGTAATCAGCATCTGTGGTTCAGTAACATCCCAGCGGTAAAGACAACAAACTAACCCGTCGATGCAGTCAGACTCATCTGGCATGTTGGGTGACGCAGGGCACTGGGCACTCTTTCCGTCACAGTAAGCGTTGCTTTTACAGTTGGTTGGATCAGCTTCACGACACACAATTTCAGTGGAATTGCTGTACACACAGTCCTTGCAGCATGGTGAGTCATAGCCGTCACTGTTTCAAAAAACATGCACCTTTACTTACAACACCAGCCTTAAAACTCTCCATTCTCGTTTACATCATCACTGCGCATAAGCAGCACATATCGACAGTGCTATCCTTGCAGTGCGCAGGAAGTTTGTCATTATGCACTCAGTTAAATGGCCTAGCCTACCACACATCTCCTACAACTCAGTGGTAGAGCTTCAGAAGTTCGACTCCTTTTGGAAGCACTTGGAGTTCTTTTTCTCAAAGTATGCCTGTATCACTCACTGAACAACACCTTTAATAAATTAATTATGGATATTCCGGTTAAGAGTTATCTGGTTACAAATTTTATCATATAACCTTACTTAGTTTTTTGTTCCTTCATAATTTTAAGAATATTCCTCACTTCCCTTTGCATTATTTTTTCCATCAGGTTTTAAACAACTTTTCCCACTTTCGTTTGGCATATGTTTCTAGCCTCGCGTTTGTACGTTTTATTTTGTTAAGACTGCAGAATGGAAGCCGAAAGCTCAAGTTTACCAGAGAACACTTTGTGCGAAAAAAAATCCCATTCCTGGTTACTCCTCCATTTTTTAAATTAATTGTGTCAATGAACCACTAATAATTGCTCCAAACCGAGCCCTAAAGTAACACTATCGAAGTGAAAAGTATGAATAACAAGGTTTAGGAACTCGGAACACAAACCTGCACAGAGCTGTGGACTTAAGCTTGCAGCCTTTGGTACAACACTGGCTTTCCTGAGGGACTATACCACCCGGATCGCATTCTTCGTCTTTTTCTTTCTTGTAATTACCGCAGATTTCGGTCCTTGGTTCTGTGATCAAACAGACCATAAAGTTAGATGGTAAGCATGTACTATCATTACATGCATTGGTATTCTCAAATAAGCTGGTAAAATTGACAGCACGCTTTGGGAGTCACACATTTTAGACTGTGGTAACAATTCTCTTAGATGCTGAAACTATCATCACTATGTCAGTTGAATTTTAGGCTGATTGCGAGTGAATTCAGATTAGCAAGCCTCATTCTGCTGCAATTATTTAACTAGGTAAACAAAGGGTTCGTACCCTTTTTCAGAAACATTGAAATTTGAAGGATTTTGAAGGACTCGGATTGATTTTTGCAGGACTCCAAATTTCATCTTAAACCCTTTCATTCCTAAGATTTCAAAGTCAATCCTCCAGACGTTCTTAATACATTTCTGACAACGTTAATTTTGAAAACTTTATTGCTTGGTTAAGCAGATTTCCACGACTTTCCAGGACCTGTAGTCTTTTTCCAGGACTTTCCAGGACCCATGCGAACCCTGTTAACAGATCCTAATGCATGGCCATGGTGTGCTCTGGGTAACGGTTTTAGAACTGACGCATACATCACTCTCGTGTAAATGAAATAAATATTCTTTTGACTAGTAGATGAAGGCAAATAACGTAAAATCCACACATGCGAACTACATCTGAAGAAATTGCAAAGGAAAAAGTCAAAGAAATTCAGACTTCGACGTGATTCAAACTGGCCCCGTGCTTTCGAAATACTAGTCGGGCGCCACAACCAACTGAGCTACGAGCTCACTTATTGCGAGTGGGGAAATTTCTTCTTTGTTCCCCGACGAGGTGTAAAAAACCATGTAAAAACATGAATTTTTACCAGCGTCTTTTTCTGAAATTTCTTCGACTGTTGTTCACTGGTGAGGATCGTTTTGTCATTTCCTATAAATCACTTGAACTGATAAATGTTAAATACCATGGAAACAGAAGGACTTGGATTGTAAAACATTTAAAATCCTCCGCTTACTGCAAGGAGAGAACAGCTGTGTAGTAAATCAAAGAATGTAAAATTAGAAAGCGCCCCGGCACTTTGCACAAATTCCGGCTAAAAAAGGATACGGCACCTATTGGAGGGAGGGTACCTAATCGAAGGCCGGGCACTTAAAACCAATCCATTCCACAAACTGTAACTTTATTTGGAGAAACCATTCATAGAAAAACGAAAAAGTACAGCATTATCCACGTAGATCCACTAGTATGGGCCAACTGTTGCGCTGAGAAGTAACAGCACTCAGGGCTGTCAGAAGCTATGTCAGTTTGGCAGTCAAAAAAGCTCCTATATTAAAGAGGAGTGCCTGTGTACCTTGTTGTTTTTCCACTGACCACTGACAGAAGCAGGATACATGATAAATTTGCCTCCATCGGCTTCTGATGGAGCACATTCTGTTGTCTCGGGGTCATGTTCACTTCCAAAATTGTGACCTGAAGAATGAAATAAGAAGAATTTGTATCAAATAAAATGTTAATAAAAATAATAATAAAATGTAAATGATTTACGGTTTGATCAGCTACACATTCAGTCCATGATCATGTGGCATCATCTTCAAACACTGGTTGGTGTGACAAGATTGAAATGCCATAATTTGTGGACTTTTGGGTCAGAATTTGTAAGAACTCAGTGGTATTCAACAATGAAATGAAGAAAAAGCTGACAAATAATGTGTGAGCCATTTGTCAGTGGAAATACTGACTCATGGCGGTCCTGGGGTAGGCCTTTTTGTCAGAACAAAGTGCAAACCATAACTCAAGGGGATCTAATAACCTTTATTGACTTCTGGTTGATTAATAAAAAATGTATTTACTTATACACTGATGCAGCAGAGGAGTTTCTTAAAAATCTAGAACAGTTTGTTAGTAGTCTACACTCAACTTAAAACCAAGTAATGAAAAATTGTCACGGAACAGACAGGTGCAACATGGTGCAAAGCTATATACTGTGAAACGCTGTCAATAAAAAGTGCTTGCCTTACAGAACAAAAAAAAAAAAAACAGCATTAAGGCCTCATTGTAAACTACACTCACCAATTTCTTTAATCATTGAAAGTAATCCAGGAAACATAAACCAGAAAAGACAAAAAAAATTGAATTAACATGATAGAAGATGGTAGTAAACATTTTGTCACTTATTACTGTTCAGAGCATCTTTCTAAAAACCTAGTAAACCAACCAAGTGCAACATAAACTAAAAAAGTCAGGCAATGTAATATAAATACACTACATAGACAGTAACAATGTTAATCTTTGCACACATAATTTCTCTAAGATAACAGTGTTGGATGCAAGGCAACAGCTGGTTTGGATGCAAAATGTACTGAGCTCATTTCAAATGAATGCCGTAAATGAATAGGTGGTTGTTTATTCAAAATATAATATAACACATTTTCTACAGTTTATTCCCAGTAATGACCTGTTAGCCAATGGCAAGCATTGATGACTTTCAACCTTTTCTGGTATCAAAGAGCAGTATAGTGCCAAATAAACTAGCTAATAGACTTGTTTGCACTGTGGAATGAAGTTTAAACTAAATTTCAAGAGGGTAGCCCGTGACAGTAATTAAACTGATGATCCTGTGGCCCTCTAAATAATCCCAACCCATCCCACCCCAGGGGAGGACATCCATCACACAGTAATCTCGTGCATGGGTAATTAACACCTCCTACTCCTAACCCTGTAGAAGACAGGACCTCCATTTATTCGTCCCTATCCGAGAAGACTAGAATATCTAACCATTTCTTGATGTTATAGAAAGGTAGCATATTCTTCTCAATTATTTTAAGACCTTGAGTGTTGGTCTGGCCAGGGATCGAACCATCAACCTCCCACACAACAGTCCAGCGCTCTATCCATTGAGCTAACTGGGAAACAACAAGGATTGTTTAACAGTTTCTTTACCATGAGCAGTAACAATGTCAGCCTCTTCTGTGAGGAGTTTTCTCCCCCAATTAATGCTGCTACTTAGTCCTGTGTTCAGATACAACCATCGATTATTTGTGAAGTACCCTAAATACCAAAAATAGAGCAATGTTAGAATATCTTACAGACTGGACCAACGCAAAGACTAGCTACATTCACATCACGGTCGTGTGTCTTTTCCTTTCCAGTATGTTGCATTTTTAACAAATCTCAAAAGTCAAAGAGCAGATAAATTCTCCGCATTCAAGTTTGATAAGCAGATTTACCTTAAATTCATTCCTTCAATACTTTTTCAGAAGTTACTAGATATTATTATAGAGTTTTAGATTCATGTTTGGTGTGAACCACAAACCTCAAACCAGAGTTAGTGGTTTGATGTTAAAAGTTAGAAGTTTTGAGATTTTTAGCTTTTTTGATTGCCATTGCCTTTCAACTGTGAAAAGGCCATCAAAATTAACATGTGTGCTACCATCTTGAATTATAGATAGAAAGGGAGTCCTTCATTTCAAATACAAAATGTGGCTACTAGTTTGGTTCCAACTGGCTAAAAAGAAGAGACTTTATCTCACACATATTTACAGGACAAGCATGAGAACTTCTGGACAGGGTAAAGAATCTACCTTCTCTCAAATCAAACATGGACAGCAAGTGAGTGAGTCACATGACTCCTAGAGTTTGCAGTGACATGTAATCAGAATCAAACATGGATCTACAACTCTAGTACAGACATGAGCATTGAGGATTATGCTTTATTTAAGTTTTGTTCGTAGAAATGTTGCAGGTACAATACTTTTTGTACAGATTCCTCCCACAGCGTTACTTTTAGCATTGCCAACATACGCCAGTCCGATGACACCATCATCAAAGTCTTGATAAGTAAACAGATGCGCAAGACAGAATTGAAGCCATTCTTCATTCTTACTGAATGCCTGAAGAAAAACATGTAGCTCAGCATTTGAAAGAACTACAAATACCCTTAAGTTGTAATGATGGGCAAGATAAATTTGTATACTAGGTAATTGCATGAGGCCAAGAAAAAGTAAGGATTAAATTCATTTCAGAAGTTTCAGAAATTCCCCAAGTTGCACAGTGATGAAGGCAATTAATGCACCTGAAAACACAACTTAGTATATTTATTTAATAGTTAATTTTACAAGGAAACAAGTGATTACTTGTTTATGATATAAAGGGCAAACTCATATATTATCATAAAGGTCAAAAATGTTTCAGCCAAGCAGCATTTAGTAATATTGCCTTTTATGTTATAAAAGACTGCGAACCCTTTTACGGAACAATTTCAAGTTCTGTTTACAAATTACAGACCAAGTTTTTCCCCTAATTAGGGAAGAGGCAAAATAAAGGAAGGATTCTTAAATTACAGAATGGACCAAGAAGATTCTGTTTGCAAGATTTTATTAGCATGACTGTTGTGGGACCACATAATCATACCTCCATCGAGAATAACAATTAACAATTACTGGATGAGGCTGAGCATGATGGCAATAATTACTGAGGCCAAACACAAACTGACGCCTTGAAATTTATCGTTATCATGCAAAAACTGAATTCAATAGTTGCTTTGTTTGCATATTCCTGAGTGCACAAAACTATTGTCTATAGGTATGTCATTTCTAAATATATAAGATCTGTTGTCTGTAGCTATGACATAAGAGAATGTATAATAATAAAAATTAACAACTTTTATAAAAAGAAAACAAAAAGAACAACAACTATATCATCTTCCCTTTTTGCTCCCAGAAAACCATAAATGTGACTTTAAACTAGTTAGACCTGCCACTCACTACTACATTGTTGCTCAACTTACATTCAGAAAGTCTTTGATCTTCCATTTATCTTTCTCCATGTTATAATGATCTGCTTCTCTAGTGGCTGTCTTATGTACTAACACCTGTAAATAGATAAGCCCCAGATGATGAAGAATACACTGTTCCAGTTGTAATCTAAAGTTTTTTGAAGAGTAGGCTCCTGTCTGCAGGAAGTTTATACCAAACTGTTCTACTGAAACTAATTTAAAATTATTTTTCTATTGATAGAAACAGTAATTCATCAAAATGATGTACAATGTAATTGCTCATATTCTTAGTACCTCACTTCTGCCATAAGGTGATACCTCAGTTTTCATTTTAACCAAAGAAATTCATGTACATTACAGCACCAATACTGATACGTGTACTAATACTGAGTGCATTCTTACTGAATGCAAAACATTTCAGTGACAGTAAACATACAATGAATAAACATACCAGTACAATGTACTAAACTAGAGTATTTAGGTTAGGAAGGCACACCCCACTGCTAAGGCTGGCAGTCTTACTCCAAAGTAGAAAATAATGACTTTGAACTGTATCTACATGTATGTACATGTATATCTGATGGAGTAGCCACTAATTGCACATGGCACATGAGCTTGTGTCCATCTCATATATTACATTCAGAGCAGTCTAATCATCAAATCAGCCATAATCACAAACTTAGACAACATTTTAGTCGTGACTTTTTTTTATTGTGGAAATCTGATTCTGGGTATCAAGATATCCATGTTAACTCTTTAAAGCCTGGTTTCCATATAATCGTCCCTGTCGCAACAGTCGTCTCTGTTGTTTGAAATACTTGGAAGCGACAGGGACGATCATATGGAAATGCTCTTGCGATCAGCCGGGATGATCCTTGCGACAGAAATGATCAGTCGTCCGAGATAGACTTGAGTTCTATCCTTGCGACCGAGATGACTGGAAATGACTCAGAAGCAATCGCATGTTTTTAATGGAAACCAGTGAAAACGACCCTTGCAACAGAAGCGATGCAACATATCCTATGATGCACCTGATGGATTACAGCATGTAATTTGAAAATGGCAGCAAGCAACTCCAACAACAACTCTACATTTATGGAGGAAATACAGTGCTATGAGTGTCTGTACAACAAACTCTGCAAGGACTCCAAAAATAAAAGGATCAGAGAAAACGCCTGGAAAACAATCGGCCAGAAATTTGGTCTTACTGCGACAGAAGCCGAGAAAAAGTTCTTCGATGTTCTCTCTCTCTTCTTCTTCGCAAAACGTTTTGGAGAAACAAAAAAACATGCCAAAAATCTTCTTCTTTGATCGACTGCCACCATTTTTATTTTGGTTTTGGCGGTAAAAAGTGACTAGTCCCAGTCTTTCCACAATTTGATCCAATACATATTACGATTTAATGGAAACCAGTTATCACAAGGATCGCTTCAGTCGCGTGTGTCGCCCCAGGAAGCGACAGAGACCACTGTTGCAACAGGGACCATTATACGGAAACCAGGCTTAACTCCCATGAGCGACCAAAACAAAATTTATCCTGGCTTACAATATCAATATAATGTCAAGCAGAAAAAGAGAGGGGGTTTATTAGTTGATTTCAAACCAAATTCTCCAAACTTAAAACATAAGAATTGTATGGAAAATGGTTAGGAGAATTACTCATGAGATATTGGAAGTGAAAGGGTTTAGACAGTAAGGATCATAACTTATCATTCATACTTTTTGAATTTCAAATCCATAGCCCTTGTATTCCTCTGACCATTCAGTTCCTTGAAAAATGGCATCGACTCTGTCTATGACACCAATCTATGTGAAAGAAAACAGTTGCTATAAACACAAGGAAATGTCAAGTTGAGTCAGATCTCAGCTTTTCAACAAATTCCAATGCTTCAATGCTGTAAGTGTCTAAATTGGATAACTGAAGTGTTGTTAGGTTCACCTACAGCAGCCCAAAGTCAGAAATCTTCACACAGTGCTGTAAATATCTTGACTGAAATCATGTCCCTAGATTTTGAAAATTATGCCTTAGGTGCCCTGGGCTCCCTATTCTTCAAATCTCACATTTTCTTGGGTTGAGAAACAAATGTTCTCAAATGCTAAGATTTAATCCAAGTAAGTGGTAAGTATTAGAAACATTTCCCTATTTTCTCTTTACTATTATTGTTTTCTGTATGTGACACAATCATATTAACAACAACATGAAGCTTATGACTCCAAATCAGGAAGTAAATTCCGATTGGCCAGTCTTGTGCTCTCATAAACCCCAGCTCTGGGACATACAAGATCACTTCAAGGTTACAAGCTTCTGAATCAACACATAGTAATTATTTTACATTTCTTGAAAAACAAATGATTTTTATGACACAGACTGTTTTTAACTGACCATATAATTGATGGTTGACTTTTCATCTCCCTGACCCATTTCGTTGAAGAATCGGTAGTCAGCAACCAGTGCAAGACGGCATCTTATCTTTGTTGGAGCAGCACGCCTTTTTCTCGTAGAATGTGTGTTCTGCACTGATAATACAACAACCCACATTCAATTAAAGGAGCCATTATACCCTTTACAGGTTAGTACATCTTTTCTTTCACATTTCCAACTCTTCTTCAAGAAGTACTCAAAGCAATGATGATGATTGTGATGAAACTTTATTTGTGTCTGTTAGGGATCTAGCTCCTGACTAGCAAGGTGCTAACTGGTGACAGCATGGTTATACAATAAACATTATCTTCAAATGTACTAATTAATACACTAATTATACGGTAACTTAAGCTATTATAATAATAAAACATCATACAATAAAAATTATCATAAAATGTACTAATTAATACACTAATTATATAGTAACATAACCTATAATAAAACATGTTCGTATTAAAGTGTCAAAGATGAGTTCAAACGTTACAAAGCATATCTTGTAATGTACTAATCAATATACCAATTATACAGTGGCTTAAGCTATAATAAACATATTTGAATAAAAGTGTCAACTGCTGCAAAGGATACATGTGTATTGCTCATTAATTAGATTATTTAGATCTATTCGTCTAATCTTATTCTTAAAAACTTCCAATGTGTCTGATCTTCTAATGTTCATGCTCAGTTTTGACCGAGGAACTGGTCTTAAATATCTAATGCTGTGTTTACCAAAATTCACAGTGTTAAATCTAGGTACTACAAAATCAGCATTCCTCAGAGCATAACCAGATGAGTTCAGGCTGAAAAGGTTGCCAATATACTTTGGACCCCCACTATGCAAATCAAGATAACACATAGATTCTCCCAGATCTCTAACATCAGTCTTTACCCCTTTCCTCACTTTTCATGCTCAAATCAGTTTTTCTTCTGTCACCTCTTAGTGCAATGGTAATGCAAGGTTATAGCGCTTTGTTGTTACCCACTTGGAAATTTACATGCACTTACAATGTAAGCAACACCTTATCCCTTAGGGAGGTATTGCTTAAAATCTCTAAAAACATAGATCATAATATTGTTTTACATACATTAGTCTGAAATTACACAAAAATCAGAGGAAAAAAGTCTGTCTTTGAAAAAAAGTTTGTGGTAAGTTGTAATAATGAATTATACTACATATGAAGTGTACGTAATTGTTGTCTGATGATTTAAAAATCCACCAATGTGGTTTGCAACATTTCAACTGCATGCTGCACATTCTCTTCTTGTGATGAAGAAGACTTAGAGTGTGTTGTCAAACTCCATAATCCAATTCAGAAGTGATTACATTGTGAGACCAATGATTATAGTTCATAATAACACTATGAGCTGACACTACTTGCGTGTAATTTACATTCAAATACCAAATTGAAGGTATATTGAAGCAAAATGAAATATTCTGCATAAGGTTGGGCTACACATTGAATGAGAGCTTTAATTATCAATTACAAGTGTATTCTCCATGGAAACTGAAAATACTCCCTTAAACAAATAATTGGTGCAACTCAGACAACCATAAACATTTTGAACTGGATTCTGACAAGTTACTTGACTGTATATATACTAGCCAACCATTTGATTTAATCTAATTATTTCTGGTGCTCATAGTTAGCTGAGTTTCAAAATAATGACCACATAAATGCTTGAGAGAATACAAGAACAAGCATTTCTTGATCATTAAAAGTATTGGCTTTAAAGAGGCATTTCTTGATCACTGTAAGTATTGGCTTTAAACAACTGTTCTTTCAAAAAAACATACTCTCTATGGGTTTGAACTGTTCCTTAAGGAAACTGCCTCAGTCTATATGGTGTTACCACTTTGCCACATGAATACAGACATACTTACCATGGCTATGTTGTTCATCTGCATAAAGCACAGTAGAATGATGTGAATCATGGCCACAAAAACTGAATTTCTTCTTCCTAGAAAAAAATGTTGCCAAAAAAAAACTTAGAAGATTTAGTTTGGAAGTTCAGATTCTCAACATTTCTACTGCTTGCTCCTGTAAAAATGTTTCCTTCCTGCAGGTACACAGGCCAAAGAGTTTTTTTTACATAAATGCTAGTTAGAGATCAAGATCAAAAAAGGTTTCAGACTTTGGAATTGAGAAAATCCTCTCAGTAAGTGCAGAAAAGTCAAGAAAGTGATCATGACATGAATTTGTAGAGAAAAAAGTTTGGTTTGAAAAAAGTTAATTGTTAGATCAACTATGGTAATGGAAGAACTATTTGCAATTTTTCAACTTACACATTAGGCTCCTGGCCCTGAGAATTTGTAATATTGGATTTTACATCAGAATGTCTGTAAGAAATCATCTGATCCTTGCTAAAGCCAGCAATATGTCGCCATGCTGGCTACAAAGACAAAACGAAGATAACCATGTAGTGGTAATCTATTGAATAAAATTCATATTCTGCACTTTCCACAAACTGGTCACTAAATCCCCACTTAGTGCATATGTTAGAGATACATGTATTTAAAATAACAAAGACTGCCTTGTCCAACAGATCACAGGTCATAATACCATAAGCAGAAGCTTCCAGTGGTAAGTAGTTTCAAAGAGTGACCCTACTTTATTATATAAATTATCTTTATCAAATTAGCTGGATTTATCTGGTATACACTGCAACACACCCAGGCTTGTCAAAATCCATTGGCAAGGAGATATTCTGAAATCTTATTGGCTCCCTCAAGAATATCAGTGGCATAAAAAAAATTATTTTTTCAAAACATTTTACAAGCTTAAAACCAAAAATTAATCTTCATATGTTTATCTATTCATTATATTTTTAACTGCGTCTCCTCTTAGACAGCTGCATAGTTGCTTTTTGCACCTCTCAGTCTGAGTATGAAATTGATCAGGGACCATTAGCACACTGCTACAATATGTAGAAGTGCTTTAATTCTGCAAGCATAAAAGCCCTTGTACCTGGTCTTTCACAATATAAATCCTTGAGTAGCTCCAGATGAACTTTCCACATTTGTAAAATTTTATTTCACAGAATAAGAACCTCTATGACAACAATGAATGGTGACGTTCATATGAAAATGGCACAGGGATACTTGGACAAAAAGAACTCTGAGTGCTACTGATGGGGGTCACACCTATGCTCATCTGATTAAGAGCAGTCGCAGTTCTTTTTCTCCAAGTATACCTGTATCATTTACAGATTAACATCACTGCTCACTCAAAATTACCATCTTCATTTTATATCAATAACAGTGACATGAAAATCACAGTTTGTACCTCAATAATGTAAGTGTCATCCTTTGTCACTATAGTAGCTGTAATGATCCCATGGTCAACATGAACTGTTGCCCTTGATGTTGAGTCACCTGTATTGAAATTTTGCATCAAAAGTGTTGTATAAAAACAATTGGTACTAAAACTGAAAAAAGAAACTTAGTCAAAAGATTAATAACACAGCTTTAAATGTTGGAATATGCAACAAACTAAAAAAACTGTGTCATTAGGAAATAAATTTAGTTGCAGTTACAGTCTTCTGTGATTTATTATTGTGCAGACCCACAACATGGACTCTATCTGTTTTATATGATACTGAAGCAGCATTTTTTTCCACCAGTGATGTCATCCACGCATCTGCCTTCCACTAAATCAAAGGTAAGAACCGATCACACTGCACTTATAAATATAAAATAGCCTCCATTTATCTTGAAAATATGTGCAGATATTTGTCTACATACATAATCTGTTGCAAAAAGTGAAAAGTTTTCTTAGAGAAAACTGTGAGCTATGAGAGAATGACTGATTGAATAGAACAATCAACAAACTTGTTCCCATGTACTTTACTGACCATAGACTTTAGGACATGATGTTTTGATGTGCAAGGAACATATAAAGGATTCTAGTGTTAGTCTAAGGATCTTAATGATATGTTGAAGCAAATGAATGCAGTCTAGATAGTGCAGTTAAAAGTAAATTTTAATCAACGATCTGAAACAATATTCTACCATCACTGGCTGATTAAACTCACTCTCCTCATCACATCTTAACCCTAATTATTCATTAGATAAGAGCTGACACAAAGGAAATTTAGATTCAGCTAAAGGTAAATTTTTTTTTTACCAAGACAAAATCTTTTTGCATCATATATAATGTTTATGTACATGTATACATCATTAACACCATGAAATTCTTATTATAATAATAAAAGTAAAATATGACTAAAACACTACCTTCGTCATAACCCTTGTAAAAGCTTTCTAAATCTACTGTAACTTCTTTCTCTTGGTGATTTTCTACGACTGAATAAGCATGAAAGTCTTCAGCAAAGAGCTCACTGTGAGGAGTCAAATGAAGTCTAAAATGTCTGAAAGATAAACAGAATAGAAAATAAGATGCATGTAAATTGTTTGTAACAAAGCCTGGTTGCTTGTTCTCATTCATCCCTGCTGGAAGTGGACCGCCTAAGCTATGAATCAATACAAAATGTCCATTTCCAGCCTTATTGAAAATTACAGTTAGCATTTCAGTTCAGGATAAGACCCTTTGTGAGAATAGAAGACAAGTTAAGACTGCAATTTTCAAAAAAGTAATCAAGACCCATGAACCTTGGAAAGCAACAACTTATGTTTTGTGATTATCTTCTATAGTTGTGATTCAAAGCTTAACTTATTGCCAGTTTCCACCTTTATTTTTGGTTTTTTTACTTCCCACAAGGTCACTTCCAAAATTGAGATCATTCTTTGAGCTATGACCACACAAAATCATGTAATGATTTAGGTTGACCACTTCAATATAAGAACAGCCTCAGGAAAGAAAAGGAATAAAGGAAGAAAGATCCTATATTGGTTGGGCATTTATCACATGCATGGGAATTAAGAATCAATTCTAGCTTGAAAAGAAACATTTACAGGGAGTACTTGGGAAGTTTAGAGAACGCACAAGAAGCTGTTAATAGTTGTTCTTGGCTGCACCTCAAGAAACTCTTTAAATTTGTGGGGTTTAACCCTGTACACACCCTTACATCAGGGTGTGTAAAAGGCCAGGGTTACACACCCTGACATCAGGGTGTGTAAAGGGTCAGGGTTACACACCCTGACATCAGGGTGTGTAAAGGGTCAGGGTTACACACCCTGACATCAGGGTGTGTAAAGGGTCAGGGTTAACAAATATTCTCCAGACTGTTCTCTATACATTTCCTGGGGTGTTGACAAGGAGAATTGTTTAACAGTCAAGAGCTTCTTTTCCTGCTGGTGACTCTCATGACCCTAGTGTGTGATACAGATGTGATATTATAAGATAAAATTACACTGTAGATGCTAGTCACTCATAGCTGTTAAACGAGTGAAAAAAAATTTAATCCCACCCTATCTTGGAGTGCAACAGTGTTTCAGAGTTAAATGTAAACTTCTAAAATTTGAAAAGACTCTGTAAAGAAGTGTTATCATCCTCAGCATACCTAGTACTATCAAATAAATAAGATCATCACAATGCTGTCAAAAAACTGTACCTGTTTAATGTTATAAAGGAAACTATCTTTTCTTGCTTGTTAATGTCTCTCTTGTGTACACCATGAAAAATGTCACCCATATTTAAAGTTTCGTAATGTCTTAATACATCTCTTATCTCACCTGAAAGAAATACATACCAGGATCATTAATACTCATCCACATTTTAAGGCTGCTTTTCTAAAAAAATTGGCTCAAACTTAATTTGATATCATTATGCAATATTTTTATTGAGATATTGCAAACGTGTGAAGTACACATAAAAATACCAGTTATTTGTTCCAGAAAAGGCTCATTAGGTGCTATCACAGGTGCACTTTAGTTTGATGCTTACAGTGGTTGAGACCCTCATCAAGGCTCCACATTGCCACAGGGTGGTTTACCTTCACACAGCAACTTAAATTCGTTTTTGTTTTTTGCTATTGTTTCTTTTTCTTCCTTTATTTTTAACAAGCAACCATCCAGTTTTTGAAATGGTTTCCACTTTATCCAGTTGAGCAGTCATTATCTCAAGCAAAGGTGCATAATCTATAACCAACATTTTCAATCCTTTCTGTTACTAAAAACAACTTCCTCCTAACTTCCTCCACATGAATTTATAACTTACATCAGCTTATGAGAAAGAATGTTGCACTTTTGTGATACATGCATTTTCCTGAACTTGCTTAAGTTATTTAACATATTTCATCTGCAGAGACATTGTTAAGAACTCTAAGCCCATGCTATATCAGCTTATCAACGATAAAATCTCGATAAAGCAGTGAGAACATAAGCGTTAGTGACGTTACTTGATGATATGAGCACAATATCTGGTCTTGTCGAGTAGTAATAATGGCATGGAATGAACATAAACATTGTCTGTGTGAGTTCTTTTATACGGCAATAGCCTTGAATTATTTTAACCAACAGATCTCATTCTCATCAAAGACACTTATTATTTCTTTGATTGCTTTTTCACACCATGTAATCTTAAAACGAAGCGAAAGGAATCCTAAAGAATCGAAAAAATCACCGCCGGCCAAAGCCAATATCGGTCAAAAGGCCGAAACACAAAGACAGTTGAGTTTTTTTGTTTTGCTTTTTTGCAAGAAGATAATGACAAAGTGATGTGCTGAATGTTAACCTGAAGTGAAAATAAACTGTGAATTCATGTGACACTGGTCTGCACACAATACCTGCACAGTCATGTCACTAAGGTGTTTTGCAGCATACTATCTTAATCTACTACATTCTCAAAACAGTGTGTCGACCATCAACTTACCAGCGTTAACCTTAAAGATACTGTTCATGGCTAGACTGAAAAGTAAGACCAATTGATAACACAACACTGCCATTGTAGAGTTGAAAGAACAAAATTCAAAATTTTTCTCAAGTATGGTTCACATCGCTGATCGTCGATCGCTTCAATGACCTCATGTATGGCGGCACAAATTGTGCCAACCGCAAAGATAATAGTGCCCAGACCTTCCGCAAGTTCTAGTGTAAATGGACAAACGAGCTGATGATGTGTTATTGGTGATTTCCCGTATAAAGTCATTACGGTGGCCCATAGGGGACATGACACATTTTTTTTTTTTATCACACGACAAAATCAAAATATCGCGCGACAAATGAAAAATTATCGCGCGATAAATGGAGATTATCGCGCGATAAATGATAAATGATTAAGTTTGTTAGCGCTTTTTACAGTTTGCGTGCATTTTATTAAGTTTGCTGGCTTTTTGTTAAGTTTGTCCGCAAATTATTAAGTTTGCATGTGTTTTGTGTAAATAACGTACGTAATTTGTCCATACCGGCCACGGTACCTATGGGCCACCATAAGTCATGTACTTTTTTTAGACAGCTAAACATAAACAAGAGGTTCTCTAACACAATTTTTCGGAGACTTCCACCAGGGAATTAGAGACGTCAGTACTGTCGACAAAAGTTCTGTTCCAGATCACTGTGACACGGACGCTCAGATCACACGATCAATTTGTTGATTGGTGACTGATTATCATTTCTGCCGTGTTCATTTAGAAGTTTTCTTTTACTCTTTCGGTAGTAAAATTTGTTCTCCAAGCCTCGCTTTTAATTCGAGTATGTAAATTTGCACTATATATGATGGAGGCTATCGTTACACGATAGCCTCCACTTGGCGCGAAAATATGCACGAATATTTTTCTACACTTGATCAGATGCCTCCATAGTCAGTCTGAGTCAACAGCTGTCCTTTTAAAATACAATGAGATGCAATGAATATATGAAGTTCATATATTTTGAACTGCGGTATTAGATACTTATGATGTGCGATCCTCGCAGGAGATAGCGCTATTTATGCAATAGCGAAAATCAGACCTGAAAAAAATCAGGCCTGTACGGGACTCGAACCACTGACCTCTGCGATACTAGTGCAGAGGTCAAAATATATGAACTTCATATATTCATTGCATCTCATTTATCACTTTCACGGGTTTATTACGAATCAACAACGGCCTACTCCCAGTTGGCTTGTTAGCTAAATTGGTAGAGCGCTGCACTAGTATCGCAGAGGTCAGTGGTTCGAGTCCCGTACAGGCCTGATTTTTTTCAGGTCTGATTTTCGCTATTGCATAAATAGCGCTATCTACTGCGAGGTCGCACATCATACGTAAAATACAATGAATAAAATAGTTTTTATGCCAAAAGCTATTCAAGTAAATCACGAGGTGTTCTCTCAAGTTTTGAAAACTAAAAGGCCAGAAAAAAAAAAAACTATTTTGGGCGGACAAAGCCTCGTATCTACTCACGTTTTCTACACACCGTGAAAATAAGCCTTTTGAGGTCGGCGCCGGGCCTAGACGACTTCGCGCCAAATGTACGACCTCAAATGGAAATAAAATTTCCCTTCCGGACGCCGTCGCCGTCCTGAGAAGTCTCTTTGCTAAAGGCCCCAATTATCTGTCCCGAGACGAAATCCGATTTCCGAGAGCACAGCTCGAGGAAAATTGGAAACACGGAACACAGTGCCCAAGGACAAATATACGAGCATTTTCTCTCGCCTAATGGAGGCTACTGTGTTTATTATCCGTGAAATATTTTTGAAACGCACGGAAAAGATGTCAACGAACAGCTTAGTGTTTGCTGCGTGAGAAGTTTACTTTTCTGTGTTTTCTGGTACATTGTCATTAAGAAATAATGAGAATCTTCTTCTGTAACAATGGCTTAACGCTCTATCTCCTCTTGGTTTGAATCCTAAAAGAAGGCCTTTGTCGCGGCAGAAACAAGCTTTGAAAATCGGGGAATATCGCTTAGGGTAGATCCTCGGATATTCCTCAGTTTTCGATCACGTGATGCGTTTAAGCCAACCGTGCGCGAGCGACAATACTTGATGGATATCATCATAATCTCGTACCCAGACGCTAAACACAGGTTCGCTCTGAGTACGAGAATAGCGTACGGGATATTTTTTTGGTACATACTAAAATACCGAGATAATATAGCACAAAGATATAATTTTGACTAATTTATTCCTGCAACTGTTACTGTAACAATATTTTCGAGCGCAAGTCCCGCGCTAGTTGCTCAGAAGTGAATAGCAGGGAATATTGAGAGTTTGAGAAGCCAATCAGAACACTCCTTTAACGCTATCCATTGTTTGAGTATATATATCTTATTAGACGTTTTGTTGTGTAGTATCGCTGAATATTTTTACGGGTTGTGCCGTATTTTATGCTCGTCAAAATAACAAATAACGTCAAAATACAAATAAAGAGTAAAAATACTCAGCGATACTACACAACAAAACGTCTAATAAGTTATTTATTATCCAACACGCCAAACTGTTATTTCAGTGCGGGCGAATTTCGCGGATATTTATTTACGGGGAGTGCGTGACAGAAGTATGCGAAGCGGAACGGAATTGGCGCGTTGTTGTGTTGCTGTTTCTATTTTCTTTATTAAATGAAGAAATTTTCTGGTCGTCAAGCTGTTTTTCTTCGTTCGATTCATCTAATGAACTTGGATCTATATTTGCCAGCCATTCTGACTCTTCGTCGTCGGAAATATGATTCAAATTGTCCGCCATTTGTTTTTTTTTTCGTAACTACAATCCAATTTTTCGCTTGCGCGATGCGAGAAAACCTGTTTAACCGGTACTCTACAATAGACGAGTACAAATACCGCGTGATATTTGTACTCGTCTATGGCGTCATTTGTACTCGTCTAGGTGTAGTTGGATAATAAACACTAATATATGTTATCAAACACTGGGCTATTGGATAGTGCAATACATTGGCTAAGCTATTATGGGTTATGAGCCATCATACAATGCGCGCGCGTGAAGACGAGTTAAGGTGGCTCGTACCGGTTTTCATCTTTTTGATGGTTTGTAACTTTGAAAGAATACAACAAAAAGACTGACCAAGGCTAGTTGAACACTTTTACATGGTTGAATTATGTAATCATTGGTTATCCAAAAATAGGTGTCATTTCGAAACTAGCAGTTTCCATGGCAACGCTTTCATAGGCGTATTAAGACACATTTTTTAGCTTGTGGCTTTTTAATTCGAAAACTAACTCGGTGACCCCGTGATTTTTTTCAGTGATTGCTTTTGGCACTTGAAAGGGAAAGTGTACAAAGATTTTTAAAAAATTCTACGGGGCGGAATTTCAGAAAATTTGCACATGATCTGTTTTAGCTACCGCTGACAATTGCGCGTGCTCGAGCGAGCACCTACGATCTGATGTTTACAGACGTTTACTGCTAAGAAAATCATTAAACAGCCGTCAAAGACAGCCTCCCAGGCTCATCTTAAAAATCCTACACATGACTTCTGGCTATATCATATTATTTTCCTTGAAGTTTCAAAGTCTTCTTCCACTTCAGGTAGATTATCCTTTACTTGAGTTCTTCTTTTTTCGCGCGAGGAAACCAATACGAGCCACCTTAAACCGAAAGTGCTTTTGCTGATTGTAACATTCCGTTTGTTCTTGCGAAATAAAGTTGGGAAGATCTATCTATATTTTGGTGCGTTTTTAACAACATAATTATTCCATTCGCGCTTGTTGGATATGAGATGATTATAGCCAACTCGGCCGCTCCAGTCTCCCTGCCTTTCTACCATCTTATAACCAACAAGTGGAATAATTCATCTTCATATGTGGTAAAACTCTTCTCCCAGTACGGAATAACTAGCAAAGTAAACTATGCCATCAAGTGATGTCTTAATATTTTTACTTTTGATCGTTGAAAAAGAATCAAACACTAGTTTTAAACAATATATATTTGTCAGACACAATGAAATATATGAAGTTCATATATTTCATTGTGTCTGATTTATCACTTTCACGGGTTTATTACGAATCAACTCAACGGCCTGCTCCCAGTTGGCTTGTTAGCTCAATTGGTAGAGCGCTGCACTAGTATCGCAGAGGTCAGTGGTTCGAATCCCGTACAGGCCTGATCTTTTACAGGTCTGATTTTCGCTATTGCTTAAATAGCGCTATCTACTGCGAGGATCGTGTATCATATGAATATATATTTGTATCGCTAACGTTTGAAAATACCTTCTCAGAAATTTTTGCCTGGTCCACTCTTTTGAAAAATATCAACAATTGCAAACTGAAATTATTATCTAACTTGCTGTTCCAGAAAAATACAATGCTCTCTTTATCAAATAATCAAAGACAGAAATAACATAATAGATTATACTTATAAAATGCGGCGTTCACATTCTTTTTTTCAACTGCACACCTGGCAATCTAGTCAAAAACAATGAATTTCCAAATAATGACATTCGATTGGATCGCTACTCAGCGAACGTGACCGATTTGTGTGAGTCGTATGATCTCCTGAACATATCCCGAGAATGTGAGTGAGAAATAAAAGCAAAGAACGGTTCACTGAGGCCTCTCTCGCGCCTTACCGATGTTGACTGACCAGTGAAATCAAAACTCCGTTTCAAAGGCCAAGTTAACTGATGTTCATTGCTTTGCAGCATCGGTTTTTCTTTGACTGGTTTATTTTCCTTGGCTTGAAAAGCCGAGCATCGTTTAGTTCGTGTTTTTGGACACAAGTGCCTACTATTAATCAAGGTTTTCCAACTGGCAGGCTTTGAGTAGAACACCTCTAAGTTTGAAGTGATTTTGCTGACGTAAGGTAGCCTTTCGGAGGACTTTTCCGTCATCGCACACGCGTTTTTATTTCTTGTCTGTTTGGATGATGCCTCCACTTTAGAATCAGTTTGATCAATTTCAAGTTGTTGGCAGGGAGTTTTGTCTGAGACGCCAAGTGATACGTACAATCTTCTCGTTAACTCATGTACAACATCTTCGTTACTAAGATCAAGGACGTCTGGTGAAGGCGCCTTTGATTTGACCTTCACTGTCGCGTTCCTAGATCTTGTCGTCTTTGCATTGCTCAGCAAACTGTCCTTGTTTGGTGAAACATATTTAACTGGTAGTGTCGCCCGTCTTGCTAACTTTTTCTGATTACATGAAAATTTGCCAGCTTTGGTGGCATCGTCTACAGCATCTTCACCGCTTCTCACGGTGGCAACGGAGCCCTTCACCTCAGAATTGTCGATGACATATGGCTCTGAGTTGACGCGGATCCTTCGTTTCCATGGACTCTTTGGTATCGAACCTCTTACATACGATGTGGATTGGTTTAAAAATTCGTTTTCGTCTATGCAAGGAAGTAAAGCCCTGGACTTTTCGTTTCTCTCTCCACTTCGTGAACTGTATTTGGAAGCCATACGGTCATTTCTCAAATAATTCTTTGGATAAATAACTTTGTATCAACTTTCATCGACCAGAGTGATCTGATTAACCTTTTGCATTCCAAGTAAAAATCTTCTTAACTCTCTTTACCTAAGATAATTGATTTTCATACAAGTTATTTAAGAAAACAACAATGAGCCATAAATCTCTTTTAATATCATTACCATAGTGACCAAAGCCATCACAGCAACCGTTGCGAGATTTAAGGTTTTCTGTCGCCTCTGAAATGATCCTTAAGACAAAAGAAAGGAACCAAAAACATTTCTGAAATGCTAAAATGAAACTACCTTGGATTTAACGGAATTCGTGTGAGACAGATTTGAGGTTGCCCAATGATTAGCACTTTCTCAATTAAGGAAGGCATAAATTGTCCATTGTTCAAACAATCAAATCATTGAAATCGCTTCTAAATGGGTATTAGGTGCTGTTTTCCTTCTTTCCGTTTATTTTTGTTTCATAATTTAAAATTTCCCGGCTTACAGCGGTAACTACATTAAGCAGGCGCATCAAACAAACTCTGTTCTCCAGTAGTAAGTCCCGTACTTTGCGAGCACACGAATAAACAGATATCTGCAGTCTGGCACCTCTGTGTAAACTACGAATCCCACGAGTAAAGAGTCATCAGAAAGGCTCAAATAAATGTGAGAGATTACTTGATTAACTCAAAACTGACGGCTGCATGAGGTGCAGGCTGTCCGCCCCAGACTCCTCTTATCAGAACCTGCACACAGTTGCGTGTCGCGGCATGAGGTGCAGGCTGTCCGCCCCAAACTTCTCTCTTACCAGAACCTGCACACAGTTGCGTGTCGCGGCATGAGGTGCAGGCTGTCCGCCCCAAACTTCTCTTACCAGAACCTGCACACAGTTGCGTGTCGCGGCACGAGGTGCAGGCTGTCCGCCCCAGACCCCTCTTACCAGAACCTGCACACAGTTGCGTGTCGCGGCATGAGGTGCAGGCTGTCCGCCCCA